TTTTTAGTTTGGTGTAACTTATAAACTGGAAACTGAGTGTTTTCTGGGAATGCAAGCAATCGATGGTGACATCAATTGTAAGCATACCAGGAAATATTAAGTTTCATCAACCTATCTACTGGATCTATTGTAGTGAGTTGTTGACGTTTTTAAACAACATATTTTTGATTGTAAAAGGGGTAGAAATGAACTCTGGTGAAGCCAATCAGTTTATTGATTTTTTACTGGAGATATTTGGCCCAATGGTGAAACTGGAAATTCAAGGACCTATTTTTCTTAGCTCATGTTACTTGATATTCAGCTAATATTGTAATGGTGGCAGAAGTCCCATAACTGGGAATGTCAAAGAATGCAACCATATTGCCTTGCTGGATACCTTTTTAAGTTTGAACAGATCCCCCTCTGTCCCCTGATTTACCTACCTCAATGCTAGGGTCGATAGAAAGTACAAATGTGCCATAAGTTCTGTATTTAATGCATATTTTAAATCTGTACACTACACTGTTTCGAACAGTGAATGAAATGTATTCTGCTTTCATTGATTATATTACACGCAAAGGTCTTCAAGGAGAAGCGTTGTTAATACACTGCAGATGTTATTCTGTTCACCTTTTGAAAGTCTCACTGTTGTGTATGCTTTCAGATCTTGAGTGGAAGATCATCTATGTGGGTTCAGCTGAGAGCGAGGAATACGACCAGGTTCTGGACTCTGTTCTAGTCGGCCCGGTACCGGCTGGTAGACACATGTTTGTGTTTCAGGTATGTAAGCTTTTGTCACGTGTTACTTCTCTTAAAGCTCGACCACAGGGAATTATAGAACTTCTCACCAAATAAATGTGGGTGAAAGTGTTTGATTTCCCTAGTTTTGTTCTTCATTTTGCCCAGTGCTGCATTAATAGGATAAATACTTTGGTTTAGTTTAATCTGATTTATGTATTTGTAATGGTCCTCTCGTACCCCCAGGCGGATGCTCCTAACACAGGGCTGATTCCAGAGACTGACGCTGTAGGAGTGACTGTTGTCCTTATAACCTGCACCTACCGTGGACAGGAGTTCATCCGCATCGGTTACTATGTCAACAATGAATACACAGATCCTGAACTACGGGAAAACCCACCTCTGAAACCAGACTACGCTCAGGTAACACATGCATACACTCAGCAAAGACCGGCATTGCATTACTTGATGGATAGAAGCGTAGGAAGCCCACTCGCAACAATCTGCAGACATACACTACAGTGATGGGCCATGCTTGTCGAAAGGGTCTTTTAAGCACACACAGTTTTTACTGCCCTCTGGTGCTATGAACATGGAAATGACAGGATACATTGGCATCAAGAGTATAACATAAACTTCAAATATATATACTGTATAAAGTAAATGTTTCCTTATCTTTAGTTCTTCTCTCTTAATTCTTATTTTTCTGTTGGTATAACGCAAAAGTAAGTCAAAGACCCCAAATATATGCATCTTAGAGATTATAATTAGCTTTCTTCTCTTTTCTTCTGAAATTAAAAGTTTTGCTGAAAGATTGCTTGATTATAAAAAAAAAAAACTAAAGTTGAATTGATAATGAAAATAATCCCCAGTTGCAGCCCTATAGCGCTCAATGCAGGTTAGAGTTAGTTAACACATAAAGGGGGGTGATGTTTTATTAGCCTTGCACAAACATTTTCAGTTGGCTAAATATTGATAATGGCTTTCGTTTGCCTTTTAACAGAGATACAAAATAACCTACACTTTGTTTGCATTCAACTCTGGGCTACAGTGGGCATTGTCAAAACTCCATGAGAGCTGAAGGTGTTGAATGCAGACACACATTTTCTTTCTGGTTGAAATAATAAGTGAGGGGTTCTAATATCAGGGATACAAAGTATTTACTTATTTAGCTTGTAATATACACCTACAGTACACACTCCATTAACTCTCAGCCTGATAAAGAGGAGCCCTGTAGCATCAATGCAAGCCAGTGGAACAGAAGCCTACTCAGCACTGACCATGACTCTCTGAAGTATGCTCTGTGTAACTTATACTGTATGTGGAAAAGGGACCTTTTTATATTCACCTGACGGGGATCCCAACTTTGAAAAAAGAGTTCCTGATGTTCCTGTCTTTCTTTCTTTTCTGGCATGGAAAGCCATCAAGGTTACATCAGTTTTGGCTATAGGTCCACAATCCTGCAGTCATCGCATGTTTACCAGGCGGGTGGGCACTAATGCAAAGATGGTGTTTAGTTCCATTAAGAAAAGTGTCGAGACTTTACCCATATTTGGGACTAAAAGTGAGGATATCTCAACCATAAAAAGTAAATCTGTCATTTCACAAATTCTCTCAGCTCCTGAGGAACATTTTGGCCTCAAACCCCCGTGTCACCCGTTTCCATATCAACTGGGAGGGCTCAGCAGACAAGATGGAGGACGGCGAAAATGTTGACCCGTCTCCCAACATCAGCGGCATGCTCCCTCCGTCCTGTTTACCAGGAAAGATGCCACCTATTGGGCTGATGCCGGAGAACTCCATGGACTGCATGTAAGAATCATCAGAATAACATCATGGACAAGAAGCTCTTCCTTCAATACACCCAACAACACCCATTCGGACAAAGAGGCCATGGATTTATCCAGACAACGTGTGGACATTAACAGGAAGCAGGAACAATCTTTTTATACAGCACACACAAATGGGATGGATCTGGAAATATAACAAACTGTTTTTGTCTCTTGTGCATTTCGACACACCGACCTGCACAACCAACATTGCCTTATTTTACTGTATAAGATATTGTCAAAGCTGAGTCAGAGAAAGTTAAAAGGCCTCAAGTTTGGGTGATCTTATGACCACCAAATCCTCACAGCAAGTCATACTCATACTGTGCTGCTCATTGTGTCCTCTGGAGCACAGATCAGAATAGATGTAGCACTAGCTGCTTATAATAAATAATTGTACTGAAGGTTGGTCTCCTCTGAGCTAGATTTGTTGCATCTGAATTACATGGTTCAACAATATTGGGTATGAAATATGTGCCGTGTTCAGGGGCCTGTTGCAAGAAGCAGCTTTTATTTGTCAAACGCTTACTAATGTCTGTAAAACAGCCTCTTCAAACAGGCTCCAGGTCAGATAATGTTCTTTAAAATGTTACAAAAAATGTCAGTCTGTAATTAAGCACAAACCATGTAGGTGAAGGAAACGAAGGAGAAATGGATTCTGTGTTGCAGCCATGTTGTTTGGGTGTTTTAGGCTAACTGTAAATAATGTTTTTTCTCAGCGCTTTTTTTGTCTTCAGGAAGGGAAGGCATGTTTTCTATACTTACTATATATTCTCTGCCTCAGTATTTGTAATCGTGATGGGGTTAATAAAGTTTGTTTTGTGAACCGAGTGCTGCTTTCTGGTCATCACATCGTGCTTACACAGCTGCTTTCCACCTAGAGGAGAGGAAAGGAGAGCACAGCAACAGCAGTGTGTGTGTGTCGCCCACTCTTTCCCCTCCCCTCTCTGGCTCCCTTTGTTTTTTCCAATTTCATTCATAAAATGTAGCAGCCTCACTCCACCATTCTCACTCTAGCCTCATGTTGCTAGGCAACTGCAGCACAAAAGGGAGGGGGGCTGTCTGCTCACTGATTTTATCTCTTCTGAGGTGAAGTGACTGGCTCCTCTGCCTTCATCTGTTACTTCTGTCCTTTTACTATTCTCACTGTTTAGCAAGACTGTGAATAGCTGCGGTCTAGATCTAAAAAATGTAAAGCAAATCTATAAGAAGTAGTCTTGTATGTAAAATGGTGCATACATTACAATTGGTATCAAAATCAATTGTTGCTTCTTCTGCCTGAGTGGAGGAAATGTATTGGGTGCGTTAACCGCAGTTCAGTTCTATGGTCCTTTAGATATACTTTAATATACCAATACTAGGATTGTGTCTTTTGGTATCAGATTAATAATATTGAAAAATAATAATCTGAAAAATGATGCATTATCATAGGTTAAGATATGATTGATCCCAGGGGAGAAATTCACAAGCTAATCCATTCACTTTTACTCATGGTATGTTAAGCATAAGTTTGATACTAGTCCTTATCTGCTTTGCGTTGTTGGTTCTATTTGACCTACCTTCTTGTTTTTATTTTCAAAATGACTGGTAACACCATGGTTGCAGCCTTTATATATACAGTCTATGGTTGCAGCCCACCACTGCATTTCTGAAAACCAGAGGTGCCACAGAAATAATTTGATTAAATGTTCAACAAGCACTGATGATAAATAAAAGCTTTATTATATAATCAAAAGTTTAAACACACTGATATGTCACATGAATGTAGGGCTTAATATTTTTACAAGTTGTAGTTTATACGCCTGTTTAGACTTATAGAATATATATAAAATAAAGTAGAAGGCTGCAGAGCCATACTATGATGGTGTCAGACCCTGCAGTAACTGTAGGGATGTCTTATTTATAGCTTGGGTGTTTGTTAATGGGCCTTTTTTTGAATTTAGACTTATAGACTCAAATAAATCTTAAAATGTGATATTTAAATGCAAATCTATGTGAAATTGAGGCTTTTCATGATCATGATAATAAGGGGCCCTTGGGCATGTGGTACACCGGAAGGTGCGGATGACACGAGATGCTGTTCGAAGAGTCTGACTGTAACCGTCGACGGTCCACACAGACTGAGAGTGTGAGGCTCTGCGTGTTTTCAGCCAACACTGATTGTAAAATCGGTTTATTCCTGTGATTCACTTCCTACCAGATAAACTCTCCCCTCCATGCACGACCGTCTGCGATCTGTTCAGAAGTCCTGCCAGCCGCGCGGCGCGTGCGTTAAATTCTGACCAACATTTCTATAAATAGCTCGCTGTTGACGTCACTCAGCCAAACGTGTATCAGTCGCTCGGCGGCGGGGAGAGGGGGTGTATGAGAGCTCCGGGAGGGAAGTTTTTTTTGGACGAGTGGGGGGGGGCATTCCTGTCAACCACTGAATACAGCCAATAGACATCCACGCATTCACCGAGATTCCCACGGTTCGACTACGCCAAGCCAATGGAGGAGAGCAACCGGAGTAAGTGGGCGCGTACGTCGTCGGGAGGAAAATAATCACTGACGTTCCCGTCGCTTGCTATTTGTATGGCGGCGGTACGCTACCGTTGGTGATGGATTGCAAAGGACCAATTACAACGCTCCATGGGACAGCGCTGTAGAAAGGTAGCCAATCAGTTGCCTAGCTGTAGCTGTCATTCAACCCCGATTCTGGCGGGTAGGCGGGACGTTCGCTCGGCTGTAGTTCCGTCATCTCGCTCGTCTCCGAGGCTACAGGGGGCCAATGTTGATTAGGGCGAATTCCCGTCGTTGTCGGAGCCCGCCGAGGAACCATTTTTAAAAGCTGGGTTCGGTAACGAAAGGTGGAAGGCTTTTGGTTGATGATATTGCATCCCCGCCGTCGGCATAGCTGTTTTTCTGGGCTGGGGGAGAGGTGGCGAGCCGGGGGGCCTCGCTCGGAGGGGGCTGCAAGGAGGGACAGGAGAAGACTGGATCCTCCGTGTTCAGGCCAACTGCGCCGAGGTCGGCCTGGCAGTCCAGTGAAGCCCCAGCGACCGAGACACCAAAGTAATAGTTCCCCGTGGATTTAAACCCGATTCCGGTCGCCGGTGGAGGGATGACCGTGGAGTGAGTGAGTCCGCTGCACCGTCTCTCCGTGGCACCGCATCTCCGTGGCACCGCATCAGAAGCTGTCAGCCTATTAAGGAGCAAAACCTCGGAGTGAACGCTTGCTAACTATAACAGCTGGATTTAAGGAGCACAATTCAGACCTAATCGAGCTTTGACCGGCTTGCCAAGGCTGTAGGGCGGCCAAAAAGCCACGGATCGCCCGTTGACAAGTTGTCATCATGGGCAACGCGCCCACGGCCAGGAAGGGAAGCGAGATGGAAAGCGGTGGGTAAAATACACACTACTCCTGAGCAAACACCTGCTCTGTAACAGCCTCATGAAATGATCATCCTCATCAGAGACGATGTTATACAGCAGGCTATGTTAGCTTTACATAACAAGCCATACACTGTCAATTAGAGGCCTAGATTCTTGCTTTCCCATTCATTAAGATCCATTCTACGTCCATGACAAGTCCTCGCTGCTGTATCAGCCTGATGGAAGGGAATCTCTCTTCAAATGAGGCTCAGGGTTTGAATGTAATTGATGTGTGTGCTAAGGTAGGACGAAGCAGGATGTTGATCTGTTTCCATAGCCAAATCTATCTGTAAGCAGCAAGCATCTTGGAATATAAAATGTGCTGAAATATTGCCAATATCATAACTCTGACTGTCAGATATTTCCCAAACACTAGGCCTGTTTCTCCACACATTTGGAAAGAGATGGTTGCTTTAAGTGTGTGTGGGTGAGCTGAATATATTCTCAGAGAATCCAAAAAGAGTTTGTCTCTGATGTACTGTGAATCCAAGGAAATATTACTGGTATTTATTTAGTTTTTACCACAGTTTTTACAATGACACATCAACTAAAGCCACTATTATTTAAATGCCTGTCAGCAGTGATGCATAATAAATGCAGATGTGTGTGTATCTCATAGCTAGCCAGTCTGAGTACTGGCTAGCAGCTGAATAGCACGCTACAACCGTGCATCACTATTAAAACGGTGTCCTTTCAACCAGATATATTTTTCAACAAACAACTTACATTGATGATGAAGAGAGTCCTTGAGATTTGATTTGAAAAGTGTCTTCTGTGGCATTACTATATTCACTTATCCCTACCATATCCACGCAGCTGGTTATAACCCTTGATCTGTTTTCAGGAAATGTTTGATTCAAATTTGTGTGAATTAGTTTTGTTTTCTTTCTCACTTAAGTAGCATGCTTGTCCTGTGATACAGTATTACACTTTCAAACACTCACAAGAGATTGATGAAGCAGCAAAGACACAGATTGTCTTTTCTTTAACAGCTTTCTACATTTCCCATAATGCAACTCAAGTATTCTTTCCTTACTGCCTGTAAAAGGCCTTTGTCTTTTACATCCCTAGACTTAATAGATCTTGGAAGTTCTACAACAGTTTTACTATGACAAGTAAAAACACAAAGTTTAATATTAACTGATAGAGCTCAGTTTTTTAAGTTTAGATTCATGTTTCAACCTGTTTGGCACCTGTTGCAGGCCATCCTTCAATTGTTCCTCTTTTGGTGTTAGCTGGGCTATAGAAAGCACACCTGCTCTTTACAACTTAATATCATTTAACACCAGATGTATCCTATTTATTTTCTGGTTTTTCAACTCTTTTCACACACCAACATCTTTCCTTTACAGTCAAGGAGTTCCTTATTAAAGCCAAAGAGGACTTTCTAAAGAAGTGGGAGATCCCTGCACAGGTTAGTGTTCATCTCAATAACAGCAATGTGACTTGTATTATCTCCCTCTACGATTCCTTATTTTCAATTTAAAATCATGAATACCACTTTTAATGTACTTGTAAAACATGTTGGGTGATGTTTCATCATTTATTGATTTAGATCAAAACCATATTGCTCTATTTCCTCTAAAATAGATGTGTTTTTTACATGTGATGAGTTATGACACATGTGATGGATAGCATTGCATTGAACAATATATGGCTTGTTTTACATGCATTTTTTACAATCCTTTTCATCTGCAGACATTTTAGAAATCCTTCTTAAGATTGTGGTTTTAATTTCAACTGTATCCTTAAACCCTAGGAATATTATACAAGCCATGGATGTTCTGTGGGCTGCTATGCAACAACGATTTAAGACATATTGTACAGACACTATGATAATATTTCATAATCTGTGTATATTTACCGTTTTCTCTTAACCAGGTAACACACTCACATGTGACAGTGTGACTCCTTTGCAAATGTTATGTTGATGATCAGGACTTACCCTAGCATTCAGGACTTATACGAAATATCCAGTATGCATTTTTCATGCTTTACATACTTTCAAAATACTATCATAGTCCATATATACCATGCTTGATACACATGATTTACTCTGTGATTATACTTGGTCATTGCTAACCTGTACAAAAACATACATAAACTATGTTAGAAGTTAAATGTGAGCCTTGGACACATTAGCAAATGAAACTTTCCACGCCACAACACTCGCCCTCCAGTTTCACAAAGGGCCACTAACCCTTAATGTTTGTTCAGAACACGGCTGGCCTGGAGCAGTTTGAGAGGTTGAAAACCCTCGGCACGGGCTCATTTGGCCGTGTGATGCTGGTGAAGCACAAAGAAACGGGACAGCATTATGCCATGAAGATCCTCAACAAGCAGAAGGTCAGTCGAGATGGAGGGTGTTAACTGGCATTTAGGGACACTTGCACTATGTTCATAGAAAATAAGGAAATTACAATTGATGTGGAAATGAACTTGCAAGCCTTGAAATATTCGTGGTTATCAAATCCTGTCTATATGCTGGTGCAAAGATGCAGAGACCCTCGTACAGGTGCAAGCCTTTATTCCTTTGTTTCCCTTTGAACCTCTTTGAACCCGCTTGTGATGAAGCAGGCATCTGCTGGAGTGGCTGAGCCGTGGTTGTCTTTATGCAAATCACATCAAGTAGAGCCATTCTGGTTCCCAATTTAGAATGAAAGTGTCCCTGCTCCGATCCCCTTTAGTTATCTAATATTTATAGATGGGCTTAATATGTTTGTAGATAACATATGCGAATGGAAATGCCTGTTCTTGCCAAGTGGCTTAGGTTCTTTTACCACATTAATACAGTCAAAATACATGCAGGTTAACAGAATAGGTCACCAAATAGTGAAAGCAAATGTTGTATTTCTATACATGTGCTGGAAACATGTTTGACCAAATGCATGCTGGGCTAGACTCCTAGCAGGTATAGAAATAAAGACATCTGATATATATTTAGGTTTCTGTACAGTCTCAATTAGAGTTCCTTATATTATATAACACACGGTATACATGTCTGTGTTTTACTTCCTGTCTCTGCATCTGGAGAGAGACAGCCCTCCTTTAAAGGATACAAGCAGCTGATGTAATTGGCCAATTTGATGCCACCTGCTTAGAATATATCCCTCCTGTTTATAGTATGTTCATCCTATTCAGGCCTGTATTTCAAAGTGTTTTAACTATAATTAGTATACTTTTAGTAGTGTGTCTGATTACTAAAAGAGCAGGCACCCTCCTCTGCCTCAGTATCTAAATGGTATTGATCTTACCATCGTGTTAATCCCCCCATGACCTTTATCTTAGTTTACTTTGAAAGTGAAAATAATTGGATGTGGGAATGTGTCGCTTGACCAACAAAAGATGAGAGAAAATGGTTTGTGCAGCAAATAATAAAGATATACTTTTTGAATATGTTTTAGTTACAGCAGCATGTTAAAACAAAGACATTGCACATCAAAAGAAAATAAACACAAATTCAATAGAAACATCCCAAAATAGAAAACGGAACAAAAAAGTAAAATATATACAAGTCGACTGTGAAAGATAAACATCTGTAGACTGTCTGACCAATAAACTCTATGAAGGGCCAAACACAGCTAACACAATTTAAAAGTAGGATATGATTTACATTAAGTGTGCAATGTTGACCTATTCACAATGTAACAGTGCCCGCCAGGTGAAGTAACCTGATCAAAAGCAAGCACAAATGGACAAATAGACAGCTGTTGGCCATGAGTGCCATAAACTAAAGGCATTGAGGTAAATAAAGCATGTGGAGCCTAAAAGCTGTCACTTTTTTAAAATTATTTTTGAACTATTACCTTTTGACCTTAGTTGCCTTTTACTTTCTAAGCTATAGCTATTGAATGTGTTATCTAACAAAGTACACATGCATAGCTCACAGTGTTTTGGATGGGAACACCGTTTATTTGTTCTATCCATAGGTATCAGTACAGTGGCCGTTGTTTATTGTTGTTAAAACTCATTTCTTGTTACAATCTAAACCCTCCTTTTTCCATCCCTATTTTTTGCCTTTCAGGTGGTGAAGCTCAAACAAATAGAGCACACTCTGAATGAGAAGAGGATCCTTCAGGCTGTCAGCTTCCCTTTTCTGGTGCGACTAGAGTACTCATTCAAGGTAATTCTTAGATAATGTGTGTGTCTTTTACTTATATCCCATTCTCTATAAGGGGAGACCCAATTTCAAGACTCTCGCCCTGACTGCTGAAGACTATTTGTTTATATACTACATGTTAGCATTTCCTTTTATCTGTAGTGGCATCCAAACTGTCCAAGAAGCCACTATAGAGCCGTGTGGACGACATGCAATCCAAAATAATCATCAGCCACCGGCCGAAAGGCAAATACTGAATAAACTAACAATTCTCGACTTGAAATAGCTCTCAAAATAACAAAACGTCAGTTATATTTCAGGCAGTATACTTTCCGCTGCCCAACTCATCGTGTATCATGTAATCTCCACACTGAAATAAACGTTGCACATGTCGTTGCCTGGAAGACCAAAGGCAAAGTAAACAGAACTCATTTTCCATTCAAAATGTAACACAACCATTAATTCAGACACATCTTTAAAACACCATGTTTAACAGGCTGTTAATATAATCATTCTTTCACCTTAAATGAATGTATTAAGTATCTAAATATTAGCTTTGAGTTCATTATGGCTGTAACGTTACGTTTTATCTGTTGAACAATGTTTTTTCAAATAAGGCTCTTAACACTACATGTGAAGTCAAAACCTTAAAACTTCTTTACTCAATGAAGCATAGCATATCAAACATGTCTAAGGCCACTCAACATTTTGTTTGCTTCACAGCTTTTAACACTATGTTGGGGGGTTTGGGTTATTGTCCCCAGATAAAGAATGCAGTTATTTTGTAGGGTATAATGTGTCTGTTTAAAGCTCAATCAAGATCTAAGCTGATTGTTGAAGAGAATAAAATATACTCAAGTGGAGAGTTGGAATATATAAACACTTTATTCAGGTTAAGCTGATCAGATTGATCTTTGATGACCGGGACAGAATATCCTTGATACCTCAAATAAACCTATTAACAGAATAGTGTGTGTGTGTGGTGTGTGTGTGTGTGTGTGTGTGTGTGTGTGTGTGTGTGCTGTGTGTGTGTGTGTGTGTGTGTGTGTGTGTGTGTGTCGTGTGTGTGTGTGTGTGTGTGTGTGATGTGTGTGTGTGTGTGTGTGTGTGTGTGTGTGTGTGTGTGTGTGTGTGATGTGTGTGTGTGTGTGTGTGTGTGTGTGTGTGTGTGTGTGTGTGTGGTGTGTGTGTGTGTGTGTGTGTGGTGTGTGTGTGTGTGTGTGTGTGTGTGTGATGTGTGTGTGTGTGTGTGTGTGTGTGTGTGTGTGTGTGTGTGTGTGTGTGTGTGTGTGTGTGTGTGTGTGTCGTGTGTGTGTGTGTGTGTGTGTGTGTGTGTGTGTGTGTGTGTGTGTGTGTGTGTGTGTGTGTGTGTGTGTGTGTGTGTGTGTGTGTGTGTGTGTGTGTGTGTGTGTGTGTGTGTGTGTGTGTGTGTGTGTGTGTGTGGTGTGTGTGGTGTGTGTGTGTGTGTGTGTGTGTGTGTGTGTGTGTGTGTGTGTGTGTGTGTGTGTGTGTGTGTGTGTGTGTGTGTGTGTGTGTGTGTGTGTGTGTGTGTGTGTGTATATAACACATCTTAATGAATGTATAAGATACAGAGTGACTGACACCTTATAGCTTTTTATGGTTTTTAACAAAAAAGGGTCAGTGGTTTCATTTATATTGACCCCCAAAAGTAGAGTTTCCATGTTGCCCTGTTGCCCATCCTGTGCGTGCACATGTGTGTCCGTTCAAATGTGTGTGTGTATAAGTTAATGTCACTAACAGGTCCTCTGTCTTCCCCTCCCCAGGACAACACTAACCTCTACATGGTGATGGAGTATGTTCCAGGTGGAGAGATGTTCTCCCATCTACGGAGAATTGGCAGATTTAGGTGAGTGTCGAAGCCGGAAGCATTTTGTGGGCGCATGCAGAGGGAAGTTAGGGAACTCTGTCATCTCATTGAGCTGTGGTCTCCTGTTTTTATTCTCTTGTAGTCTATATTATTCTATACGTTACAGCTTTGTTCTCTCATGTCTGTGTTAGCCCTACTCGGTTATATTTGTTTCTATCTTCCCCTCTTTTTTGTTCTCCACTTAACTGCCACTCTCCCTGTGTGCAGTGAGCCACACGCTCGTTTCTACGCTGCTCAGATCGTCCTAACCTTCGAGTATCTGCACGCTTTGGACCTGATCTACAGAGACCTGAAACCTGAAAACCTGCTCATAGACCAACAGGGATACATACAGGTAAATCATCCTGGTTAAATAAAGGTGAAATAAAACAAGACCTGATCGTCTGATATAAAAGAGGATCATAGGTTTCCTACTCGGAAGGCTGTTGTTTATTTGATTTTCCTGCAAAAGCACTAAATCAGTCATTATACAGCATTGGGAGTTCACAAGTGATGATGATGATGCTAGCCTTGTGGTGTCCCAGTGGCCGGTAAGATTTCCGTTTTTTTGTTTGCAGTGTGCAAACGTTAACGCTGATGGAGATGAATTCATATTTATTAGATCTGCAACTGAAATTATTTTCATTACCAATGTATCTGTACATTATTTCCTCAACTGACTGATTCATTGTATGCTCTTTAAATGATTTTTAAAAAGTGTAAATTCTTAGATTTGTGTTGATTACACATTTTGTATTGTGTGACCGAAACCAAGACGGAAAAAACAGTCAATAGATTATCAAACTAATGGATTACTCTAGTATTTGAGCGCTGACTTTCAATGTGTTCATCATATTGAACAGGGATGAAGTGAACAGGTAAAGCTTTACACTTTCTCCAATGTATACAGACTTAAAATGTAAAACGTCAGGTTTATGTAGCAGCAAAAAGACTTCTAAACTATTGGGATAATGCCATTATTTTCACTCCAATAGCAATTCTAGAATGAATTTGCCTTCAAAAAACTGCGATCGGTTTGGTCAGCTAAACATTTGACTGTATTAGACTGACTGTGCACTGATTTCATAATTCAATTCACAAAAAGACACCATTTCTCATGTCACTTATCAGTGCAATTACAGTGCATTTTACCAACAAAGATGGAGTTTAGCCAAAGTGGAGCTCACTTGAAAGACAAATGTGTAGCAAATGTTGGTACAATTACTGCTATATTAATGATATACACTCAGATTGTTGCAATTTAATTTATTTAATAGGTGGACCTTTATTTATACCCCAGGGGAGATTCAGGGTTACCTTGTTAAACAGAAAATTGCAACTTACTTTGATACAAAAATAAACAACCTAAACCTCCAAATGGAAGCAAATAGGAAACAATTACTAGTGTACATTTGACGATTTAGCCTAAAAGAGTGCTTCGATTGTAGTGGTATCACACCAGTGATACTCTGTTGGAGATATTCATCTATCTCTCTGAATCGCTTTGTTGGGAAGAATCAGTTTAATGAAAGGAGAAAGATGGTGTTGAGTGCAGCATTCCCCAAGAGATTTAATGGAGTTTGAAAAACAATCTTAATTAGTTTCAGTTTTGAGTATTGAATAATTTACCATAGTTACAGGAAATCTGTTGAAATGAAAGTACATTTGGGACCTGCTAATTTTAGGCATTGAGTGACTTCGCCCCTGCTGAGAAGTCCACTGTTTATTTAGTAAGGGTAGATATGAAATGAAATGTTGGACAGGAATTATTGTTACTTTTGATATAGTGTGCTGCAACAAGAGTATCTCTGTAGAACTGTTGTCGTTCCAAACACTAACACTAGACACAGGTCAAAGTTGTGCGTATAGAACACGTCATAGAGGAACACTGGTTGCATGAAAAAAGACCAACCTGGACTTTTTGATTTGTCGACTGTCATTGTAATTCGAAGTGTAACAGTCCGTACAGAGAGAGATGCAAGGACAACGCTTTAAGTGAAAGTGGGTTTAGCGGTGTCTTTCCATACACCTTGTTGCATGCAGCTCTGCATTTGTGCATGTTTGTTTAGATTGAATGAATATAGTACCATTTTACCTAAGTTCAAACATTAAACAAATATATAATGTGTCAATTATTAAATTTATAAAACATAATTCCCTGAAAAAGGAACCCTGGAGCTATAAAATTAATTGTGAAATAATAGTGTTATCCTTTTGTTCATCTATTGGTTTGTACTGTATTTTAAAGTGTACACTAAAGAAAGTTGGTGTTGTGGTGCAGATTCTGCTGCCCTCTAGTGGTAAATAGTCAAATAACAACTGGTGAAAAAATCCATTGCTCTACTCTACTCCCTCCCTCTCTTTCCCTCTGTCTCCCCTTCCTAAAACTCTTAATATTTCCCTCTCTTAGGTGACAGATTTTGGCTTTGCCAAACGTGTAAAGGGCCGGACCTGGACACTGTGTGGCACCCCAGAATATCTGGCCCCAGAGATCATTCTCAGCAAGGTGAGCCAACCATGCCATTTGATATCGTGTTAGCTGTCACCTGTGTCTCCCTTAAAACAAGATATTCTACATTCAAACAAACAATGATACCAACGTTTTTTTACTGGATAGTTGTTCATTTGAGTCGTCAGATATGAAACACATGGTTACAGTTATATTGATTCAAGACGTATAGAAACATGTAGGGATGTTGATGAAGTTAAGATGCCTTACATAGCTATTCTTCAATATAATAACCACAGGAATATTTGTAATTAATACAATACTGCCAACGGCACTGTAGGACAATGATACCTCTTACATCCAAGCCTTTAGATGGGATGCAAAGTGACATTGGAGTATATGTTCATTTAACTTGAATACGCTAAATATATTTCCTTGATTCTCTCTCCATAATGAACTCTTTTTGTCTCTACTTCCCTCCTCCCTTGTTATATCCACCAGGGGTATAACAAGGCAGTAGACTGGTGGGCGCTGGGGGTACTGGTTTATGAGATGGCAGCAGGGTACCCGCCTTTCTTTGCTGACCAGCCCATTCAGATCTACGAAAAGATCGTATCAGGGAAGGTGAGTCTGACTCTGATTGCCATTCTGTGCTACAGTCACTATCAGGGTTGCACTGGTTGTGAAATTCTGGACTGATGTACGGATGTTTGAAACAACCATTTGGCTGTTGTTGCTTTTATGTTGATATGTATCCCCCTTTTTTGCCAGGGAATCTAAGACATCTTCATTATTTAAATGTTTGATTTCAATTCACATACTGAATACAGCTGCAGTCAGCCATCTTGATTCACTCCATATAATATGCCTTTATTTATCAAGATACTTCCTATGCATGTCAGGGTCAAATGTAACACACAAACACACACAAGGTGCCTTTGAGACTCTTGGTAAAGTTTGAGTTTCAGTTCAGCCATGTTGGATACCGCTTGTCACACAAAGCAGGACTTCTTGTTCTAATACCCAATACCGTGAACTTTATACGGTATGATATACATTTTTCATAAACCGCAATACTGTTGAAAAAGTGGCGAAGGGCGCTCGAGCGGTGCGGTAGTGAAAGGAGTCCCCTGGGGACGCCGCTGAAATGCATGCTGGGATACAGCGCCAAGCGTAGTAGCAGTAGCATAACATGTGAAGCTGAATGTCAAGATGGACACTGAAGAAAATGAGACTGGAGGTGGAGATACATGACAAGGAGAGGAGCTGTGTCTGTTGTTTGGAGGTTTTTTGGGTTAAAAAAAATCTGACGTGAACCAAAGAAACATTTATTGCAAATGTTGTCAAATTAAAATTGTTGCCTGAGGAGGTAACACAAGTAATTAACTCAACCACCTCAACAGAAAGCACTTATTGGAGTACGAAGAATGTATGAGAATATACGATCTGCTTCAACGAGCAACGCTGGTGAAATGTCTTTCTGAAATGTTGCAGTTGTTTCATGCACTCTGACTCATGAGGGCCACCACTGATCTGGGGCCTCATGTATAACGCCGTGCGTAGGATTCACGTGGGAAGGTTGCTTACGTAGTAGAAATCCGAAAAATAGGTCCATACATTTCCCGCCACTTCCCGATTCACCAAACATTGCGTACCGGCAAGGAAAGTGCGTATGGCACTTCCTACGCCGGTTTCCCTTTATAAATCACAACCGACTCGAAATGCGGTGCAGCTTTTGCGGGGTTCACGTAACGTCCATATTTGCCTATAAATAGTCAAAGAAACGCCCATTCATTCATTCATTCATTCTGACTGACTTTATGAAGAAGATCGCAGGAAATGACGACAGAACAGTTAAAAAAGACATCTCACACCGTGTCAGATGTGGGTTATTTTGGGGAGGTCGAGATAAATCATATTGTTTGGTGGATGCAGTTTGAACAGGGGAGCAGCATGGAGGGTCGTCACCAAAATAAATAAATAAATGGCCCGAAAAAGGTTAATGACAAAAACAATACTCATAGCTTCCTCAGGCAGTGTGTTTGTACCGGGGACAGGAGACCCCCCCCTTGATGAGAGACTGTAAGAAATGATCGGGGAATCCCTCCGGAGTGGAGTCATGACGACTGGATCTGAATTATGTTTTTGTATTTGGTGGTTTGTGTTCCAGCTGTCGATCAGCTGTGCGCAGCGTCTCCACTGCAGCAACTCTATATCCACCAGTTAAAGGAAATACAACTAATGTGTTGTGTAATATTAGCTGTACAATTTACCACATATGGTGTTCTTAGCTTTCCATACCTCCTGTGTTTTACGAGCGACTTATCAAGTCTTGGCAAACGGCATAAAACACGATTAAACGTGATAGTATATAAAACCATGCTCGTATACAACCTATAGAAATGCAACACGGCGTCAGTTTAAAGTAATGCTGTCCTCCTGCTTACCGCATCATTTATGAGAAAACATTTCATAACATTAACACAACATATTCGAGATGGTTTTAAATAACATATCCGTATTTATTTATTTCTCCAGGTTATGTTTTTGTGTGCACTGAGGAGTCGCAAACAGGCATTTGTTTAATCATTTTAAGATTGGCTTTAATCAATGTTTGAAAATGAATTCTTCATATATGATAAATGAGAGGTAACATTTTATTTATGGTATTATTTCCACATATTTCTCTCCATTCTTCCTTCTGCCAACGCGGTGTCGCAGTTTCTCGTCTCTCCCGTTGTTGTGCTTAGTGCGTACGCATGGGTTAGAGTTTGCGTGGAGGACCGCACGTTTTCCCGTCAAGTTAGTATTTTATAAATCGCAAACATTACGTAGAAACTGGCGTACGCCATTTTTTGAGCGTATATCGCTTTATAAATGAGGCCCCAGGTGTTTTTTGTGGGGCCAAAACATATAAATGTAAATACATTTCCAATCATTGAAAAATAAATGAATACCGTGATACGATGCAATTTGGAAAATACCGTGATATGAGTTGTTTTGTCATACCGCCTGGCCTGTCTGGAATGTAGAAATGCATCACTTCTTCAGGCCACTGCATGTAAGCAGGTTTGGACCCTGTGGCAGCGTTCTAAATCTCATATGTTTTACTTTAGTACGTACTGCAGCTGCACTTTCTAAGTTAGTACTGTTCCATGCAGTATGCAGACAGTATCTTGCACTTTAATCATTGTCGCTCTTGTTCATATATCCACTGCGCATTGTGTTTTGGTCAGAATAGCCAGAATTTGTTATTTTACTTTTTTCTCTGCCTGAGGATTTTACCAGGGAAACAACCTTTATGGATAGGTGTTGAAGAAGTAGACAGGACCAACAATTGTTGAATAGATTTATTTCAAACTTTAACTAAAAACGTTCCTGCTGCTTCCTTCTTCTTCTTGTCTTCTGTCTCAGGTGCGTTTCCCATCTCACTTCAGCTCTGACCTGAAGGATCTCCTGAGGAACCTGTTACAGGTGAGAGCAAATATCTCACTCATTCTGGTGTTAGGCTACATTTACTTTGCTGTGTGTTGTGAATGTATTATAACGTGAGGAAAACCTATTGATTAAATCCCCAGGTGGATCTAACAAAACGTTACGGAAACCTCAAGAACGGAGTCAACGACATCAAGGGACACAAATGGTTTGCAACCACTGACTGGATTGCGATCTACCAGAAAAAGGTATGTGAGAGTTTACTTTGTATATACGTTGACTTCCTTTCTGTGGAATTCTCTTTTCAAACGGGCCTTTCGTTGTCTTCAGGTGGAAGCTCCCTTCGTCCCCAAGTTCAAAGGACCAGGCGACACCAGCAACTTTGACGACTACGAAGAGGAGGAGATCCGTGTCTCCTTTAATGAGAAATGTGCCAAGGAGTTTGCGGAGTTCTAGAGTTAGAAAGTGAGAGAGGAAGAAAGTAGGGAGTCAAAGGTAAGCTGGTCAAGTGGGAGACGTAAGGAGGAAGTACTGTCTCCTGTCCAATCACAAGCACCAGCTCCAAACAGAGGGGGGGAATGGGATAGAGAAGGGAAAAAGAGCAAGGAGACTGATAACCAGCAGTGTTGCCTTTTCTGTTGTATTTAATTTATTATTCTGTCTTATTTATGGATCCCTTTATAATGAAGGTGTGCTTCAGATTCATGGGTGTTGGGAAGCCCACTTATTTAGAGTTGCCTCTACACATTTTAACACAAGATCTTCCCGGCTCTTCTATTGTTTCATTCATCATTTAGTCACTTTTGGGCCACATCACAGAGAAAGTCGGTTCTACTCTCCTGCAGGTTACATGAATTACATGATGCGTGGTGCAAGTCGAGGTCTCAGTCTGCACAAAGGTTTCTTAAATTTAAACTGAAAACCTTCTCGTTGTTTCGTTAGCAAGAGGAGCAATTAGAGGTGCATTCAATGAATCACTCTCATGCACTTTTTACAATGTTTTCTAGTCTTTTGTTTCCTTTATGTACTTAAAACTCCACCGTTACATACGTCGAGTCAAAGTTGGCCAAAAGAAAAACATAAAGTGGAGGCATTGCATGCTCAAACAGGTTTCCGTCAGATACAAGTGACACTTGGGGGGGGGGGGGGGGGGGGTCACTAAAGTTTACTATCTATACTTCTTATCATTGTAGGCATAGCCAGGTTTGTGAACTCCATGTGGCTCCAATGATATCATGTCAGGTTAACAAACATGGACATTTGGGTGGTTATATCTCAGTTTAATGGTGTAGTGACGGAACATTATAACATAATGGTATCTCAGGTTTGAACATATCACTTAATAAGACATTTTATCAACAGAAAGCGTTAGGATTAGCAGGTTAAGAAGACATGTGAGACACTTGCTTATGATATAGATTTGGGAATATACTGTTCTGGTAAGCACTTAAAGGAACATAAGGGAATATTAAGACTTTTGGTTTGCGTTTTCCAAATGTTTCCTTCCAGAACATTTGGTTTTAAAACGTGACAAATCTGATTTCAAAGCACTCGCTGTTTCTGCTCAGAGCTCACCTACTAGTCAAGTTGATGCAGCATTTTGAATCAACCATTAGGCCCTCCCACGAATAGAGACCATCCGAGGCAGATTACCTTAAAACTGCGTCTGGTTGGTGTTCGATGTGTTTATGTTCATCTCCCCAGCCCTCTCCTCTTATCACTTGCTAAGTTGAGCCACACTCTATGCGACAGTCTTACATTTGACAGAGACTCTTTCCCATCTCTCTGTTTACATGCTTAATTTATTTGTCCATGCAAAGATGACTCCATTAAACAAGTTAGAAGAAGGTAGAGCACCTGGAGTTTAAGAGAGCTCAGACAAAAAAACATCTCAAGCAGCCTGTTTAAAGTGCAAAAAGCTCTTCAGGTGCTCAATGCCTCTTTAGCTCTTGAGCTACTGTACTATGGCAAATAACTGAAGCGATGCGACAAAATGGTGGTCTTACGGAGTTTATAGAAGTAGACGTAGTGACATTAGTGTCTGTTTCAAACATTAAAATGCCTTGTTCAAATGAATATGTTCCCTTTTGATTCCAAGAGGTGCTCCAGTTGTCTGATCGCTTTAAATATCCAGATAAGTTTGATACACACAAGTCCTTCCTGTCCAAATTAAAAAAATTACACATTTACAAGTTAACATCAGTGTAAATTCAAGGTGGGCTAAATGAGATGATGTGAGGTCTATGTAGCCCACATTTCATGGCCAGATTATCCAGCTAGTGGGGTCTGGGCCCCTATTAACCCATCCTCCCTCTCGCTGTACATTAGACAGTATCACTATGCTGGAATATGACATGACCCCAGTTGTACTGTGCTGTAATTTGACTTAAACACTACTTTGTGAATATGCATCATGTAAGCACATCATTAGCAGAATTAATGAAGGTCTTAAAGGGCAAGTGATTCAGCGTTGCACTTGAATAAAACTTGCAAAAGACATGCAGCAGAGGCTTGGATTTATATAACTGTCACATCATACGGGATGGATGGTAGAGCGGGGAAAGATTCTAATGTCGACGTGCGACACAATCTGACAACTTTTATAGTCTATTTTTCTTTGACAAGTAAAGAAGCAGGAACTATCTAAAGTCCCGTTCTAGTGTCAGATAAAGTTGTGCTTTAGTAATGTGTTTAATTAAGTTATATTACTACAAACCAACTCATACAGTGGACCTGGGGCTGTTGGGGGCTATGGGCAGTTGCTTTCCTAGTTGGTAGCCTCAACAGTGTCCATAAAAAAAAAAAGGATTTGGATTATTTTCATAGACATGAGTCACAGTACAAGGCGACCAACTTGTGACCAAAAGGGTTGATCCCCTCCCCCATACACCCACTACTTTTCATATTGTTCTTTTTTATTGAGATGTGAAACAGCTGAAAAACATTTCATTGATCAATCTTGAGTGTAAAATGATATTGGCAGATTAATGGTGACAAGAGCTACAAAGTTGACACTCGGTTTCAGCCGGCTTATTGGTTATGACTAATTTAACTTTTATTTTTCTTATTATTATGACATTGTTGTAAACCAATTGTTGAGAATTCACACTCGCTGTATTACCTCCATGTCAAGTTTAATGTTGACTATATCATCATGGACAAAATGTTTGAAGTTCTAATATTATTCCGTGTCTCCTCGATGTTTTTTGCAGTGATACAACTTCCTCTTGATGCAGGCACAATGCTGGTACATACTGTCGCACTTTTTAGGGAAATGAGACCCCCATGTAAACCATGTTAACCCACTCCCCCCGCACACATACACACACACACTGCAAAAGGAAGCGTCTAAAGTCACGGGAACAGTGACATAAAAACACGAAGTGTAATATTTTGCAACATGAGTATCATTCCAATAAAGTTTTACTTGTAAAATTCTACTGAACGTGTGTGTGCTTCCTGGATGTTTGTATGATGGTGGAGCTCCTGTGAGTTTGGAAAACAGTGAATTGTAGATTGTGACATAACTCAAATGAAGCCTTAGTGTTGTAGCCTGGAGGTCAGACATCTATCATTGCCATCTGATGCGGAAAGGAGCCTACATCCACCCATCTGTTGACCACCCTATTCAGTCTGATTCAGCATGATGTGTTTCAAAACACGTCTCCGCCCTCACTGTTTGTTCCGCGCAGTTGTGTTTCTTTGCGTCTGTTCAGATTTTATAAACGTCGGTTTGATCAAATCTTGACTGCGAACAAAGACTCCGATGCGCCCAAAGCCAATTCCACCTTAATTTTGAGTTTTGTGCAGGAGACATGCGCCATCTTCGGTCCACCTTAAGCGCACATTGTGGCCAACGAACGAAAGCGTACCAGCCAGGCTTCCGTCCTCATTCTCCAGCCGGGGATCGCACTCTGGCTTCCCTGCTTTGACATAGCGTCACTTGTGAAACAGAAGAGGAGGAAGGAAGAAAAGAGGCACTCGGGCCAAAACCCATCTGCACCAGCAGGAGAAGATGTCCGAGCCCAATAAGTACCGAGAGTGGATCCTGGAAACAATCGACTCTCTCCGCTTGAGGAAAGCCCGTCCCGATCTGGAGAGGATTTGTCGAATGGTCCGAAGACGACACGGGTCAGACCCGGACCGAACCAGGACAGAACTGGATAAACTGATACAAGAGCAGACCGTGCTCAAAGTTAGCTACAAGGGCTCTATATCGTACCGGAATGCGGCGAAGGTGCAGAGGAAAAGCCGAAAGAAGAGTGAGTTTACGGCCGCTGGCAGTAGCAGCAGCGGCGCGGAGGCAGCGAGGGAGCGGACCAAACACCACCATCCGAACAACAACAGTGCTCACAGCTTCACCGACCAGGAGGAGGAAGAGGAGGACTCGGAGCCCAGCCCAGGTCCCCACACTCAAACATCAGCCACCGACAAGAAGCCCAAGCCTGCCTCCAGCCCGAGTAGCGGAAACGGGTTCCAGAGCTGTGGCGCAACATCGGGCTGCGCTGTCGGGAGCGGCAGTGAAGAGGAGAAAGCAAGTGCACCTAGAGACGAGGGATTAGGACAGCAGGGAGTGGGGGACTGTAACATAACACACGCACACGACGACGGCGGTGGCGATGCCAGCGGGATAACGCCGAGCGAAGCCGATGCAGTTCGGGGAGAAAAGGAGCGATGTTTGTCCCGAGATGACACCCAGAACAAAACTTCCTCCGGGAGCGTCGGCGACCACCCGCAGCAACAGAGAGAGACTGCGCCCCTCAAGCCCAAACTTGAAGGAGGAGGAGGAGGGGGCACCAAAACAGCGGGGAACCACGCCAACTCCGACCTGGGCGACAGACTGGTGGCTTCTGTTCGCCGCCTGTCCGAAAAGAGCATCCGAGGGGGCTCTACCAGCGCCACCAGAGGCCACATGCAGCCGCTCGGGCTGAAGGAGATCGTGGGCTACCTGAGCAGCCAAGAGCGGCTGTCGGAGGAGAAGCTGACCCGAGGCAAAGTCAAAGTGGTCATGGAGAGAGAGGTGGCGAGGGGCCGGCTACGCAGGACCCGCTGCGGGAACATCACTTTGCCGCTGAGGGGGGTGGTGACGGAGGACCCGAGGACCGCGGACAGACTTGTGAAGAGCGCACTGCAGGACACGGTGACAAAGGTGGGCTCCGATAACTTAATATGTCCAACACGTCCCGGCTGTACTGGGCGCTGAACGCTTGCTTGTTGATTGCTCGCTGATAAATTGATGATGTTAAAATCGCACGAAAGCCACTAGGACGCGCTCGGCTTCGCTCGCCTCGTTCATGTTTCTAGTTCTACTACGTCGATATTTTACATTTAAAAGTGTTTGGGACATATTTCACACATTTAGAGAGATTCATCTTTCCACCGTGCCTGCGTTTGTCCTCTGCCGCCTCGGTTAGTGAGTGAATGTGTGTGTGTGTGCACACATGCGCGTGTGCGCGCACATGCGCGTGTGCGCGCACATGCGTGTGTGTACATGCGTGTGTACATGCTGGAGCAACGGAGCGGCTTCCCCGGCTGTGCGCGCGCACCGTTAAGAGCGTCTCTGCACGGCGCGAGCACGAGCCGCTCTGGTGTGGTGTGGTGTGGTCTTCAAATCATGCTTGGGGTCCTTTATGTTTCGCATCTCGCTCTCAAGAACTTTGGCTGCGGACGGACTGGGCCTGCCTAGCGGGAGGCGGTGTCTGTCTAAACTTGAGACGTGCCGCTGCCGCTCTGTGTGTAGCTCGGGCCGACCTGCGGAGGACCAAACAGCCTCGTGTCTGTTCCTCATGTAACATCGGTAAACATTTTGTGAGGGCGCGTTTTCTAACCGTGTAGTTTTGTTTTCCTCTGCCGTTTTATGCCTCATTAAATCCTTCGGATCTTTTCTGACAGCACGCTCTCCTCCCTCCGCGGTGCACACTCGAGTTGTAGGCGGCTATCGTTAGCGTCAGTGGTGGAAAAAGTATTGAGATGCTTCACTTGAGTAAAAGAAGACATTAGTGCCAAGATACTCCATTAGAAGTTAAAAGTCCAGCATTCAAAATCTTACTTAACTAAAAGTACAATAGTATTATCAGCTACATGTAGGCCTACTTGTAGGCTATAACAAGTAAAAGTATACTTTACCTTTATGTGTGTATATCATTATATTTATACACTGATTACAAATATAAACTGAATAGATATAAGTGCACAGCACATTTTAAAGTGGCCTTTTATTGTGACCAGCCTAAGGCACACTGTAATCATGCTGTCTAATCAGCATCTTGATATGCCACACCTGTGAGGTGGGATGGATTACCTCGGTAAAGGAGAAGTGCTCACTATCACAGATTTTTTCAGATTTGTGAACAATATTTGAGATAAATGGTTATTTTGTGTATATAGAAAATGTTTTAGATCTTTGAGTTCATCTCATGAAAAATTGGAGCAAAAACAAAAGTGTTGCATTTATATTTTTGTTCAGTGTAGTACCATTGTACCTAAGTTCAAACATTACAAAAAATATAATGTGTCAATTATTAAATTTATAAAACATAATCCCTGAAAAATAAACCCTGGAGCTATAAAATTAATTGTGAAATAATAGTTGTATCCTTTTTTGTTCATCTATTGGTTTGTACTGTATTTTAAAGTGTACACTAAAGAAAGTTGGTGTTGTCGCGCAGATTCTGCTGCCCTCTAGTGGTAAATAGTCAAATAACAACTGGTGAAATGGATTACCTCGGTAAAGGAGAAGTGCTCACTAACACAGATTTACACAAATTGGTGAGCAATATTTGAGAGGAATCAGCCTTTTGTGTATAGAAAAGGTCTTAGATCTTCGAGATAGATGCATTTTGTTCAAAGTAGCTAAAGCTGTTCAGTAAATGTAATTATTCCCTTTTTAAATATTGAAGTAGAAATATAAAGTAGGATAACATCGAAATACTCAAGTAAACCTGTACCTCAACATTGTACTTGAGTAAATGTACTTAGTCACTTCCCACCTGTGGGAGTGGGAGTTGTGTGTCCTCTTTCCAAGACTCCGCTCAGGGTGCAGTGAATAAGAACTGTGCTCAAACTCAGGTGTCGCCCCTTTCACCTCAGAAAACATGATTTATCTCCAGTTTGTTCTTAATGGAGACATATTTTAATGCAACTTTCTCTGTCAATGCAGCCGCTGTCCCCCTCTCCCAGGGAGAATGAGGCGATGGAAACAGCCAGTGAAGAAGAGGAAGAGGAGGAGGATCCCCGGAGCTCAGACGAGGAGGAAGGTCTATCCCCTGTAGCCATGACAACCGATCCGGAGCTCATTGAGAAAACCTCAGAAGATGCTCCAGAGATCCAGGCGGCATCAAAGCAGGAGAGCTCCCCGCAGCAGCACGGGGGTAAAGGTGTGTCCACGTGCGTGTAGATGTGCGTCCTGGAAAGACCCCATTAATCTCCCTTTTTTTAAATTATTAAGCCTAGTACAAACATTTAGTTACATTACCTTTTTATTATTGCTGTTTAAAATAAGTTGAAGTCATTTATGTTTATTTTGTGCCTTGTTTTCCCTGTAAAGCTCACTTTCTTTGTACCGATTTTGTGAATTTACTGTATAAATAAAATATGATTACATAAGAATTGTTAATATCAATACACAATTATCATTCCATCAACTATCAATCAATATGAATTTGAATACTATAATTATTATAATAACACAATTGAAGGCTTGTCTTTATCTCTTCTCTTCCCTCTTTTCCTCTGGGTTTGCTTGCTGGTCTCAGGGATGGGTGGGATTGATTCCCTCACCAGGACGGAGCTTCCATCTGTTCAAGGAGCTTCACTGTGCTCATGTAACAGCGCACACTTAGAGGAGAGAGCTGTCCGTCCTGATCAGCTACAGAAGGAGGCACATGTGAGTGAAAGCTTGTTTTAAATCAATGATTACTGATCAAAATCACTATAACGGCAGCAATGAAATAAAACATTCTTTGAAAACATCGCTTTACTACATCTTTGAAAAAGGCAAAAAATGCCCCAAGAATATACTAAAACATGTACTACTTCTCAAGTCCTTCACCAGTTATGGAATTACATTGAGATAATCTAACTTGTATATATAATACTATTGTTTAAAAATACCTTGATTCAAGATACTAATGTTGCTTGAGTAAAAGTACCAACAAATTATTTTAATTAGTTCCGAAATATTTGTCCGAAATGAAAGTAAAAGTACTGATGAACAAAACCCAGTTTTGTGTACTAAACGTTATATTATTGAGTCTTAGTGCAGTGTTTTTCAAAGTGGGGGCCCTAACCCCCGGGGCGCCAGGGGGGTCACGCAAAGTTTGAGGGAAACAGGATTTTTTTTTAAAACATTTTTTAGATGTTATTAATAACTGCATATCTATCAATCTATGTGTCCTTTGATGCCAATCTTTTCATATTTTTTGTTTTTGAATCGCACAACCGCCCTTCAAGCCAATCAGAATCGAGCTGCCGCTACTGAGAGTGAAACTGAGTATCTGCTCAGTTTTTGGAGCAAGTGAGAGCTAGTGAATATTTCGCTCTGCAGCTGGATGAGAGCACGGATGTAGCAAATGTCGCAGAATTGCTTGCATACATCAGATTTATTTAAAAAGGCAACTTTGTTGAGGAAATATTATTTTGCAAAGCACTGGAAGGTAGGGCCACATGAAGAGACATTTTCCAAGTTTTAGATGAGTACATCATCTCAAATGGACTTGACTGGTCTCGTTGTGTGGGTGTGTGTTCAGATCTATGGTTCAGATGGGGCAGTGGGGCTATGACAGGCAAAAAAAGCGGAGTGACAGCTTTGATCAGGCAGAAGGCCCCAAATATAGTGGCAACGCAGTGCATCGCTCCATCGCGAGGCACTTGTACAAATCATTTAAAAAAAAAATTGCAACAGGGGGGTCCCCGCCAGAGGGTAATGCTATATGGGGTCCTTGGCATGGCAAAGTTTTGGAACTCCTTAGTGTGATGGATTAGCATGCATGTTATTTTAGCAGTTCAAAGCAGTGCTCATTTTTATTACGTTATTATAACAGAATTGTAATGAAGTAGAAGTTCGAAATACCATGATGAAATATACAGAAATACTAAAAATCCTTAGTTTTTATTATTTTTTAGAACAAAAGGCTCACCGTGTTGCATAACAAATCTTTCTTAAGACACAACAGTTATTAGATACATCCCTCACACACGAGCGCCATGTAACGGAGCGTCCACACAGCAGCGTGCGTTGACGCTTGGAGGTGGGCGTATCTGAAGCTTGGGGATTCTTTGCGAGCAACGCGACCAACAACCAATCACATGAATCTCCCGCCCCCGACATACAAAGCAATATCAATGTTAAAACGAAGTAAACTGGATATAAAATCCCCAAACAGGCGAAAACCTACCAGTTTCACCCCACTGTCTCTGCCACCTCCCTCCATGCCTCGCTCCTCCGGTTTGTATCCCGGTAGATGAACAGAGACTGATCATACAGCACCGGGTGATTCACTACCGCTATAATGAATTTTCCCTCCATTTTTTTGAATATGAGGAAATGACCTGCGTAGTCTCTCCCAGCATACACACGGTTTGATTGGCTAGCGCTTGTACTGGCAGATTTGCATAAACGGGATTTCATTGGCTGATGCCTCCGTTGAGGCGTCAAAAGTTGAACATTGCTCAACTTTTGAAGCCAGCAACGCTCCACGTCGCTTCCCAAAATGCAGTTCAGCTAAAAGTGACGTCACCCCATTCAAAGTGAATGGGCAGAAGCGTTGGAAGCTTCAACGCACGCCGCTGTGTGGACGGGCCGTAAAGGTTCTGCAGAAAACACACTTTGATGAGGAGGACTGTTAACAACAGAAATACACACAGACCGTTGTGTCTGTTGTATCTACATATAGCAACAGTTATGAAATACTATACAACTATATGCATGATATACAATACACTTCAATGTTCATCTCATGTGCAACAGCACACACACACACACACACACACACACACACACACACACACACACACACACACACACACACAACAAAATAATACACACATATCAGAAGAAAATGAATATTTGACATAAAATAACCCAAAGCATTGAAATCTAAAAATCTAAATGTGACTGGGGGTGAGATGTAATCTGTGTAAATGTGTAGATTTGTTTAAAGGTAGGCTAGGTAAGAATGGAGAAACCAGCTCGAGTGCGCTAGAATTTGAAAGTACGCAGCCGGAAAAAATCTGCCTCTTCCTTCAGACTTCCTCACAGAGCCCCTCCTCCAACACACATGAACGCACACATGACCAATGAGGGCACGAGATAAGTTTGTGCACAGATGGAAGGCTGACAGGCAGGTAGGCCATCCAGTTATTTTAGCTGGGCCGGCTCAGATGATTGGTCGTGCTTTTTACAGCGCCACGGCTTCCACAGATGACATTTAATGTATTTTTTGTCAAAGCATTTCATATATTCATTGCTATCGGGACGTTAAGAGCATTCCATGGAATATAACAAAAAGTGTTTCTGAAGAGAATTACCTACCCCACCTTTAAGTGCTCTTCATCATTAATTAAAACACACTTTCAGTGTTGCACTTGGACTAGCTGTAACCAGAGTGAGAGCAAACCATCCAGCTGCACTTTTAAAAAATGAATCAATAATCACAGAATTGTTCGTGAAGGTTTGAAAAGTCACAAAATAAAAAAAACATGAACAATAATTAACCAGATGAGCTGAAGCACATGTGCTTGCTATCCTAGGAAATTGAGATTTTTCTCTCGTGTCTCGTGTCTCGTGGAACACAAGTGTTGTACTGCGCCTTTAAAAACGCTCCTTTGTTTGCCCTTTTCTCTGATGCGGCAGTCAGGAGAAAAATAAAGTGCCGCGTAAAGGACTCGCATACAGAGCACAAAAAAAGAGATGCAGATTCCAGTGTGTTTCTATTTGATACATAAAGGTGCACAGAAAGTGTTCATAGAGGGCAAAAGTGAAAACCTTTCACAATTTTGACCTCTTCAATAATTTTGGGAGAAAAATGTGTTCCATTATGTGAGTCAAATCCAGCCATGAATATTGACAGGCATGATGGTGTCTTTAAAGCAGTTGCCGCTATGTTTGTGCACACATGCATTAACCAAAACAACACCGCACGACACATCATACACGCAATACATCATCAGAAGCAATGTTACATGCACCATAAAGACCAACAACAGCACACACACACACACACACACACACACACTCACACACACACACACACTCACGTAAGACGCATACATATTATTTAAAAAAAGAATATCTCTGATGCTTTTAACATCATCTCCCCCCTGTCTCAGATATGCTCTTTTTGTCATGCTTATCATTTAGTTGCGAATCAGAAAATAGAATTTGTGCAATCATACAAATATCTCGGGACAATTATTGACTCAAAATTGAGCTCTGATCCAAACTGTGAAGCTGTGTGCAAAAGGGGGCACCAGCGTTTGTACTGTCTTAGGAAACTGTCCTATTTTAACATTGACAAAACCATGATGATTATGTTTTATCGTGCTTTTATGGAGTCAATTCTGTCTCTTTCACTAATGTCATGGTTTGGTAACCTGACTTTACAGAGCAGAACCTCTCTGAGTCAGATCGTAAAGTGGTCCAGCAGACTGATTGGTGAGCCACAGCTAAACCTGGAGACCCTGTACCTCAGGCAGTTACAGCGGTTATCCAGCTCCATATTAGACGATGACTCCCACCCTCTGCACTCAGAATTCAAGCTTCTTCCTTCGGGCCGGAGGTTACTTGTCCCAAGGAGTAGAACGAAGCGGTATAAAAACAGTTTTATCCCAGCCGCTATTGCACAAATTAACACATCATAGGAGCGTCACACAGATGCCTTTTTATTTATTTATGAATTTTGAATTATAGTGTTTTTCTTCTTAAATGTTTTTGAAATATTTTGAGATTTGGTTGAGCAGGGTGTACTTGCACTTTTTGTTAGTCCTTTTATTAGAGATGTGTCTGTTGTCTGTGTTTGTTTTTAGAGTGTGTCAGGATGGATCCCTTGTCTTTTTCTCTGCAAACAAAATGTACCTACGGGTACAAATAAAGAACCTGACCCCTCTCTCCTCCACATACAGGATGACACAACCAACCACACCTCCTCAGGCTTTAACAGTGAGTTCTGCTTTTTACAGATCATCTCAAAAGAAGTGTGTATGAGTTTGGTGGCTTGCAGTGACGACAGTTGATCACACTGCAATCTGTTTTCCCATCGTAGGCCTGGAGTGTAAGACAGAGGTTGGCATGTCGTCCTGCCTGCTCACACCCACTGCCTCCCCGAGAGACTCCGGCGTGTGTGAGGAGCGAGGGATGAACGGAGGACTTGGCGGTGGAGGAGGGTGAGTAGAGCAGAGATACTGGAGACGCTATGACTAAAGTCCAATTTGACTTAAAGCACGTTCTCACTCCACTGTAGTCCCATTTCAGTGGTCAATAAATCACCAGACATTGCATGTTCTTTCCTTCGTGTAATCCAAGTTGACTCTTTCCCTCTTTTCCCTTTGGCCACATGAGGGAAGCATAAACACATTGGGAGGGCATCCCCTTTTAAAGTGATGTGGCACATTTATCATATCCAGAAGTTATATACCACCATTATTAGTACTTTTGGAGATGTGTCTCTGTCTTTCTGATCAATGTCTAATATTCACTTTCTTTTACCTCTGTATTTGGTCTTCTCCAACTACTAAGGGAAATATCTGTCTCTTTAGCATCTAAAAGCTACACTTGGTTCACCAGCTAGTCTCTTACTGAATCTCTATTTGCTTGACGCTGAGCCAGTAGTGTAACGACAGTTACAAAAACAATGTGAACAATGAGTTACAACTCAATATAAAGCTCTGTAAAGCCAAGTATCAAAATATTGATTATAGCCTTTTAAATAGGGTCAAGCCATTTCATATGAATCAGAACGTAACATATCATTCTCCTGTTTACACTAAAACAGTGCAGTGTCAATATTAAAGCTACAATTTATTTATCAGTAAAAACATTGACCTAACAATGCTAATTGTAATTAAATAGCGCTTTACCGAGTGCTCAAAGACGCTTGCTAATTCTCCCATTCTAATAGAGCAAACACATAATTTATATATATATAATTAATTTATTTATTGAGGTCCAAATCTCTTAACAACCCAGAAGTTGGTACAGAGAAAAAAATATATAATAATAATGATAATGGTAATAACATAAAATATAGCTGTATATATATATATATATATGTATATGTATATGTATATATATATATGTATATGTATATGTATATATATATATGTATATGTATATGTATATATATATGTGTATATATATATATATGTATATATATATATATACATATACACACACCACCTCAATAGGAATTCTAAATAAATGCTTTCTTGAATGGCCTTGTCCTAGGTATAAAACATGCAAGTACAAGCACATTGTGTAAAACACTCTCACCTAGAATCACTAGAACTCCTAGCCAATTGTCCAATCAGCAAGTTTCAGTCTATTCTGTAAATTATTCGAGAAGAATAGGCAAAACTATCAGAAGGTTGTCTCTCCCAGATTAGTATTTACTGCAGGAACATGTTATGTTAGCCTCCGCCCACAACAGGTGTTATAGGTATAATGTCTGTAAAGGCACACGAGTGACAATAAAAAGGGGGTAGTTTTTTTAAGGAATCATTTGATGCTTCATGAATCCGAAAAAAGGGAATAAACCCCTTTTATAAACCCTGGAATAAAACACAAAACTACATTCCTTATTTAAGCTGTCTTCATTCCAAGAGTTTACGATTTCCAGATCCCTTCAGGTTTTTAATTGGCCAACCGCCGTCTTCCTTATCTCTCTAGTTTTATAAAGTCCGAGGGGACCATTGGGAGCCCGATGGACTGGACAGTGTCCGATGTGGTCAGTTATTTCACAGAAGCAGGTTTCCCTGAGCAGGCGGCTGCATTCGGGACCCAGGTGAGCCTGTCAATCCCATTAACGGCCACTAGAGGACACCAGAGACACGGTTAATGTCTGTACTTGAACCTCTCACAGCTGTAACCCACATCTACCTCCCCACATTGCTTTGCTCTCCTCATTAGGAAATTGATGGCAAGTCTCTTCTCCTGATGCAGCGTAACGATGTTTTGACCGGCCTGTCGATCAGACTCGGCCCCGCCCTCAAGATCTACGAGCGCCATGTAAAGGTTCTGCAGAAAACACACTTTGATGAGGAGGACTGTTAACAACAGAAATACACACAGACCGTTGTGTCTGTTGTATCTACATATAGCTCCAGTTATCAAATACTATACAACTATATGCATGATATACAATACACTTCAATGTTCATCTCATGTGCAACAGCACACACACACACACACACACACACACACACACACACACACACACACACACACACACACACACACACACACACACACACTGTGAATGCTCTGTCCCAGAAACAACACACAAAAGTAGAGCTGGAAAGGAGCCAAAAGGAGCACAAATGTTGGAGTGAGTAAGAAGACTTAAAATGTAAGATGCAGAGGATGCACAAAATAATGCAATATCCCCAATATCAAGCACTTTGAAATGTATCGACCAAACTGTGCAAAATGTTTTCTTTGTGTTTATATATTAGTTTGTTCTGACCTTTATGCACATTTTGAAAGAGGTCGGGTCTGTGTGGAAGTTATAAAAAAAACCTTTGGCTTTTTGAGGCACTGATGCAAGGGTTACTTGCTTGTAGGTGTGTGTTTTGTACACATACTGTGAGTGTGTGTAGAGGCATGGAATAGTAGGTTGGATTGAGCAGAAACATTCCCTGAAACTTAGATGGTTGGCTCGCTGACCCGTCAGTCGTCCTATAAGGATAAAATCCCGTGCAGGGTCGATGACCTTGTACAAGGTCATTGGACAAAGCAATAAACTCGTAATTCCCCCCTAGATGTTCGAGAGGTTGTTGGATCTTGTCAGCTCGCTGATCGGCAGTATATTTCAGATATAAAACTCTTTGACATAATGTTTTTAAGCAGAGCTCGCATGATCTGTTCTGACCTATGCATCAGCACATTGGGGGCCAGTTTCACAGACAGATTGTGGCTTAGATCAAACCAGTCAGACTCCGAGATGTCAAAATGATCGACTGTAAAAATGTTTGAAACATCATGCATTCTTATTACTCTACTCTTATTCTAATCATGAATCGAGAGCCATGTTTTCCCTTTATATAGTTGTTGGGTGCCACTGGTCACCATTGTAACCAGGTGATTGTAGTCATAGAAACATGGCTCTTAGTTCAGAGTTAGCGTTGGGGTACAGCAGCTTAATTTTAGGTCCCCAATTTTTTTTAACTTGCATTAGACTCACCTTAGTAGGATATTAAGACCGGACTAACACTACACACAAGTCTTTATATGAAACTGGCCTCAGAAATATTGATCAAACACGCCGGCTCACTGAACTGAAATCAGCAGAACAATCGGATCTCACTTAGAGTGTAAGTATATAAAAAATGATGTCCATCCAATACATCAGCCTCCATTTTGTAAGTAACTGAGAAACAACTATCTAACTGAAAGATGTTATGGCAGGGTAAAGCTGAGTCAATCAATAATCTCATAACACCAGCATTTTTCAACTATTACCGGTCAAACCTTAGAAAACCAATGCTGCCAAATGATCACACGTCTCATTCCCACCGTCACTGTCACGACAAATATTCCAGGTTTGGTATCTTTGTGCATGAATTATAAAATGATATTTATCTTTTCTCATATTTGTGTTTATCTTCTGTTTGTCATGTTCTGAATGTTTTCAGTCCACTCTCAACACACCAATAGTTCTTAAAACCTCCTCTACCTCTTTCCCCTTCACTTTCACTTACTTTGCATATCCAGAAACACGTTACAGTAGGCCTGTCACAATTCTGTTCTTAAGAATTTTCAGAATGTGAAAGAAATATTAAAATATCACAAAAAAAGACCACACGTCCAAAACAAGTTAGATTAGTTTTTGGTCTCTGTTAACAAAAATGTGCAATACCCAAATCATTGAATGTTGGCTAAAGTGTTGGTGACATTGTTATGTAAACAAAAATGCATGGAAAACAACATGCATATAACAACAGGTAGTACTGAGATCAAAAATGTTTGAGTTCACATACTTTAGTCTAAATTTCAAGTTATTTCACTTATTTTAACATGTATGTTACTATTTTTGTTGCCACTGTTATCAATCAAATCAATTCATTGTCATTAGTTGAACCTGTTGGAGCGGACAGCTGTGTCTGAGTCCAGATTCTCATGAGGGTAATGTACAGTGTGTCTCAAGTTATTTGTTAAAATACTTTTTTTGTAATAAAAGTTTTAATTAAAACACCAAAGTATGTCCATCCTGAGTGTGAGTGCATGTTCTTTGACACACGTGCTTATGTGTGAGGAAGGGAATCCAACAACAGCAGCTCCCTTCAGTCACAAGAAGTCAAAGACCATGAAACACATCCGGACAAGACAGACTAAAAGTCTGTTCTTTTGGAAATAGGCTCTATACCCACATTTGTTATGACCCATCAATATTTCAGAGAGTCAGGAAGTGTTCTTCATGACAAGCTAGTGCCTGCATTTGCTGGGAGGAGGAAATGTCATGCCGCTATATCTGTCCTGGGACTCACTGCAAAGTAAGTGCTTGTGTGCGTATGATTGCACATCATTGGTTCACAAATAAAACAGGGAAGCATATTTATACCTCCACTGACGTATCCCACAAACATGTTGATTCAAGGCAACATAGAAAAAAGAAAAGACTGATCCCTCTACTTGAAAATAAACAAAACCACACCAGGGCAGTTCAGAACCTGAAACCTTTGGCACTTGTCGCAGCTGAAATTGGGTCATACAAGATCAACTCCCACAGTAAACAAGTGCAGACGACAGAGAAGGAGCCGGTCTGAGTGGAGGTTTAGGATATCTGACCAGACAAAGGAGAGCAGTCATGCCCAGCTCAGGAGGAGCAGAGTGAGTACAACTGCTGCGATTGTGTATGCATATTTTAACTAACTCATATATAGTATTTTTGTTTAATTAAAACGTGTAACTTAGAAATTGTGCAGATTGCATGTGCAGTTGATCACGTTTTAAAACAATATAGTCATATTACTTGAAACGTAAAGCTATTGATAAACTATTAGGATCTTTTCATGTGTTTACAGACTATATACTGTAGTTGCTATGTGCAGAGCCAAAGAGTCTAAATTCAGCTCAGTGTCACATGAGGAAATTAGAGCTCCAAGTGTAGAGCCTGCATGATGTGCGAGAGTCATAATGTGTCTCTTGTTTGGAAGTCCAAAGGGAGAAGATTTATCCACTGCCATCCTGAAGCAGAAACACAGACCCAACAGACTCATTGTGGACGAAGTGCTCATTGATCTCAACAAAGCTCACAATGAAGACGGTAGCATCGTCAGCCTGTCACAGGTCAGTGTGTGTGTGGGTGTGGATCTATATCATGTACATCATGTGTATTTTTGTTGAGATGTTTGGTTTGTGCACTATAGGATAAGATGGAGGAGCTGCAGCTGTTCCGGGGGGACACGGTGGTGTTGAAAGGGAGGAAGCGTCGCCAAACGGTGTGCATCGTCCTGACTGATAACACCTGTGGGCAAGAACGAGCCCGCATGAACCGTGTGACGCGCAACAACCTGCGTGTCCGGCTCGGTGATGTCATCAGGTAGATCTTATAGACTGTGACTTTGCGTATGGGGTCAAGGTCCAGGGGTGCAAAGTGTCAGGGGCCCCTCTGGTCGTCTAGCCTTCACCCACAACATTTCACTTAAAGGTGGGGTAGGTAAGTTTGAGAAACCGGCTCGTGATACACTTGTTGTTATATTCCATGGAATGCTTAACATCCCGATAGCAATGAATATCTTAAGTGCTTTGACAAAAAATCCATTAAAAAACGTCATCTGTGGAAGCCGTAGCGCTGTAAAAAGCACGACCAATCATTTTAGCTGGCTAAAGTAACTGGATGGCCTACCTGCCAGTGTTGCCAACTCCATAGTAAGGAAAGTAGCTATTGGCTGTCCGAAAAGTCGCCAGAAGTCGCTAAATGACGTCATCGCCTAATTTGCATATCATGTAATGGCGGCTGTAGGCAAAAAAACGTTCCCAACCCTTCAAGGATCAAAACTTGAAACCACCGGAGTTAAATCCAGACGACAGTAGATCAGAAATGTCTTTGCCTTTTGAGTATGTTTTGGGGTTTTAACATGACAGTTTGGCATAGAAATCCCCCTTACAATAAAGGCAGTATGCCCGTGTGTCATCTCCAATAAATGGCTTCAACCATCCTTTATACTCAGGGTTTGATTCCCACTCCTTTCTGTATTTTTGAGAATACAATTTAGACTGTGCCATGATGTTTAGCTTGTCACAGAGAGGCACACACACAGTGGACGAGGTGATTGAGTGACTGAGGCTGTGTGAGGCAAAGCAAAGCAAAGGCAGTTATTTATTATAGTGTGAAAGTGAGTGAAGAAACATTTACATTCAACATTTAAATCCCGCTCAAAACCAGGACGGCTTGGCAGTTGGCGCATGCGCAATTCATTTGCAGTCTCGACGCGGGGGAGTGTGGTTGTCTCCTCTCTGCTCTGACTGCAGCAGCAGCTCTGCTGCGGCCAGGCAACAGTCAGTCTGAGCGCCTGTGAGTACTATGGGAGGGAGGCGGGGCTCTCGGGCTGTGCAATTAATCGTATTTTAATCGCGATTACGATTATGGTTTGCGACGATTAGGAAAACAGCATAATTGACAAAATACGATTATTTTGCTGGGTGCGCTTTCGCCCCTCCCTAAAAGCCCACTCGGCCACGTGGGAATGACATGTGTTGTGAGTGTTCAGCGCAAGCGAAGATGTCAGAACAAGAGCAGCAACTAGTTAAAAAGAAGGGTCGCGGGGAGATTCCCAGTCGATCGCGAGATGTGTCTAAAAATAGAACAACAATATTCTGTTTTATCGTTAATGTCCTGTAACATAATGTTCCCGTGCCAGAATAATGCACATGAACGCATCAAAGCTTTGTGATTGGCCGGCCTCACCCCATGTGTCCGGGCGTGGCTGGTGAGCAGTGCACTAGTTCGCTGACGTTGTCCGTGTCAACAGCATGGATGGTCAACAGGAGTGACAGTCCGCACACACACAAGACCGCAATTATGGCAGAAGCAAAAAAGCCCAAAATATATAATTTTCACTCCAAGTGGGAGGATCATTATTTTTGTATCTATTCCAATTCAAAGTCCGTCTGTCTCATCTGCAATGCGAGCGTGGCTTTATCGAAGAAGGGTAATTTAGGAGCGGCATTTCAAAACAGTGCACAAACGCTACGAGACGGAATTCCCTCCTAATTCTGCCCTACGCTCCCAAAAGGGGAGGGGCCTGAAAGGACAGCTAAATGCAGCACAGCAGTCAATTTTCACCAGGCTCAACAACAAGAGCAAGGCTGCTACCATAGCATCTTATCGTGTCAGTCACGTTCTTGCGAAACACATGAAGTCTTTCGAAGACGGCGAAGTTGTGAAAGAAGCTTTCCTGGAGGCTGCGACGCGCTTTTGTGGCACAGTAAAAATAATAGCAGCATTTCAACAGGTTTTTGATATAATAAAAACTCAATTTAGATACCGTTATTAATCTGCTGTAAGTTTTAGTTTGTTTGAATTTATTCATGATAATTATTGTACAAAATGGTATAAGAATGCAAACATTAAGATCTGTTCTGTTTAAATTGATTATTGTCTATCAGTTCAGAAACTAGTGTTGCTTGCATCCTATTTTAAAGGCATTTATTTTTATACTCTAATAAAATGCAACAAAAAATGGGTTTGATTCTATTAATGTTGTCTTTTTTATTGCACTGTTGCTGCAGCAGATTACTGTGTAGCTTCAGATCTGAGTTGTCTTATTAGTAAGCCTAATTTATACTTTTGTAGCAACACTATTTTTATATAATGGCAAATAAAGGGTTCTTCAAAGTCTTTTCTTTTTTTCCTGTGTCATATGTGGCAGCACTGCCACAAGTTCCTCTTCAGAGAGGGTCTTCAGTACAGGTGGCAATATTGTCACCTGCCTGCGCTCATCTCTGAAACCAGACCATGTAAACAGGCTGGTATTTCTTGCAAAAAAATCTTTAAGAGATGACATGAGCAGCCCTACCAGCATTTGCCATGGTGGCCTAAACATTTTTATTTGGTCTTAAATTGTAGTTCAACATTTATTTCCTGTTACTTCTGGACCATGACGGTGGGCCAGCCTTCAACGTTTAACTGAGTGGAATATGTTGAATATGTTTTACCAAAATGTTAGCTATATGTTAAGGAGTTTTCAGTAGGTTGTGACAGTGCACTGCAACATGTTTGATTTCATTTATTTTGGTCTAATTTATTTTTATTTATCATATTAATATATGTTTAGTATGGTTTTGGAAGTGCGCTCCAACACATTTATTGATCTTGTTTATTGGTAAAATATTATTTGTTTTAAAGTTCAATAAATGGTCAATGAATAATCGTCAAAATAATCGTGATATCAATTATTGACCAAATAATCGTGATTATGATTTTTGCCATAATCGCACAGCCCTACACGGCAGCACCCGCGGCTCGTTAACTGCAGAACAATGTGAGTCTCCAAACACCAGAAAAGTCGCTAATAACACCATTATAAATCGCTAGATTAGTCGTTAGTCGCTTTTGACACAAATAAGTCGCCGGAGGGTTTGGAAATCCGCCAAATTTAACGAGAAAATCGCCAAGTTGGCAACACTGCTACCTGCCTGTCAGCCTTCCATCTGTGCACAAACTTATCTCGTGCCCTCATTGGTCATGTGCGCGTTCGTGTGTGTTGGAGGAGGGGCTCTGTAAGGAAGTGGCAGATTTTCTCCGGTTGTGTATTTTCAAATTCTAGCGCACTCGAGCTGGTTTCTCCAAAATTACCTACCCCACCCAGCGCCATATAGACTATAGACTTCTATCTATATGGCGCTGACCCCACCTTTTAAAGACAATTACCAACCAGGAAGAGACTTAAAATGACCCCAAAGAAACATACAACTAATTCAAAGAGAAACCAATAGACAACGAACAGACTCAAAAATTACAAAAAGATTCAAACAGCTGCAAAGGGAATTTTGTCTTAACAAAACAAACAAAAAAGATCTACAAAGACACTCAAACCTATTAGCCTACAAGGATACTCCAAAAACTACAAGACACAAACCAACTATGCAGAAATAACCACAATATACACCTCTAAAAACACAGAAATGGCAAAAAAAAAGACCAATAATACAATGATAATTGAAAAGGGACATATAGACAAAAATCTAGATTTAAACCAGCTACAAAGAGACTCCAAAAACTATAACCAACTACCAAAACACATAAAAAGGGTAAAAACTGAAACAAAAAAATAACTTGAAAAGACCATAATAACAAAGAGATCCTAAATATAAACAGGTTTAAAATAATGTATTTGTGTTTCGCTTCTATTGAAAGCTGGGGGAGGCTTTTGCATGTCTGTACCCAGGCCAACATTGTAATCCGCCCCTGGTATGGAGTAACATGTGAGGTTTGACGACAGTATATGAAGTGACCAGGATGTCGATGTGTTTTTTTACAACAGTATTCATGCCTGCCCTGATATCAAGTATGGGAAACGGATCCATGTCCTCCCAATAGATGACACCATTGAGGGCCTGTCTGGAAACCTCTTTGACGTTTTCCTCAAACCGTACTTCCTGGAGTCTTACCGGCCCGTCCATCAAGGTACTGAAACTCCTCTGCTGCTGATGTTACCCTGATCCTCCCCTCTGTATGTGATGACGTTTTACCTGTGTTTCCAGGGGACATCTTCTTGGTGAGGGGGAGCATGAGGGGGGTGGAGTTCAAGGTGGTGGAGACTGATCCCGGCCCTCACTGCATCGTAGCCCCGGACACTGTCATCTACTGCGAGGGAGACCCAATCAAAAGAGAGGTCTGTGACACATCCAGCCTCTTCACCAGCTCTGTACTGTGATCAGGATGTCACTGAGTACATTTACTGCAGTACTTTACTTAAGTACATTTGTTAGGTACTAATACTTTGAGTGTTTTCATTTCCAGCCAGCAAATATTGTACTTTTTACTTCACTTCATGTATTTGCTAACTATTTGTTACTTTGCAGGTAAAATGTTTTAATACAAAATATAACTATGAATTATTATGTTTTTTTTAAAAAGTGTATTAAATGGAACAAACATTAAGTAGATCCAGCTTTTTTAAGGGAGTTGCTGCTTTCCTTTGTCTTATGTGGTGGTAAAAAAGGCATATTACTAATAAAGGACTGGCTTATCTAAAGCCAGTTGAGTAGCACTTGAAATGTTTGGCTCTATGAAACCTGATGTACTTATATGATTCTGTTTTCTTCAAGGTTGTGTCTTCCTGGTCGAATGCACTTATTGTAAGTCGCTTTGGACAAAAGCGTCAGCTAAATGCAATGTAATGTAATATTTGGTTCATTCAAATTTTTTAATTTTTTTCATTCAGAAAATGAATTGGCAGATAAATGGATTAAAACCAACATAATCTTTAGCAAAGTCGCCAAAGTCCTCCAGCCTGGATAGTTTCATGTAACCTTGTATGCATCAGGTGCCGGCCACTGAGCATACACCACGATCATTACAACAAATAAACTCAAACAGGGCTGACTCTTGCGTATCACCCTCTGATAGGATGAGGAAGAGAGCCTTAACGATATCGGCTACGACGACATCGGAGGCTGTCGGAAGCAGCTGGCGCAGATCAAAGAGATGGTGGAGCTTCCTCTCAGACACCCGGGCCTCTTCAAGGCTATAGGAGTGAAGGTGTTGTAGCTTGACCCCATACACTCTGATCTCTGCTTCCTTTTTTATTTGAACATTATTCTTTTTTATTTACTCAAAGTATTCTTCTGTCCTCTCTCTCAGCCCCCCAGAGGGATCCTGCTGTACGGCCCTGCAGGCACAGGGAAGACCCTGGTGGCCCGGGCTGTGGCCAATGAAACTGGGGCCTTTTTCTTCCTCATCAACGGTAAGGTAAATTAGGAAATGACCCTGTTCTTATGTATAGCTCTCTCTGTATAGGAGGAAATGTGTTTAACATGCCGTGCATTATTCTGTGAAAAGGTCCGGAGATCATGAGTAAGCTTGCAGGAGAGTCAGAGAGCAACCTAAGGAAGGCGTTTGAGGAGGCGGAGAAGAACGCTCCGGCCATCATCTTTATTGATGAGCTGGACTCCATCGCTCCTAAGAGAGAGAAGGTGAACAATAGATAGGAAGTGGCTGTGTCTGCAGTCAGTGTACAGAAACTCTATCAAGTTCACCACCAAGCTGTGTGTGTGTGTGTGTGTGTGTGTGTGTGTGTGTGTGTGTGAGGTGTGTGTGTGTGTGTGTGTGGTGTGTGTGTGTGTGTGTGTGTGTGTGTGTGTGTGTGTGTGTGTGTGTGTGTGTGTGTGTGTGTGTGTGTGTGTGTGTGTGTGTGTGTGTGTGTGTGTGTGTGTGTGTGTGTGTGTGTGTGTGTGTGGTGTGTGTGTGTGTGTGTGTTGTGTGTGATGTGTGTGTGTGTGTGTGTGGTGGTGTGTTGTGTGTGTGTTGTGTGGTGTGTGTTGGTGTGTGTGTGTGTGTGTGTGGTGGTGTGTGGGTGTGTGTGTGGTGTGGTGTGTGTGTGTGTGTGTGTGTAGTGTGTGTTGTGTGTGTGTGTGGTGTGTGTGTGTGTGTTGGTGTGTGTGTGTGTGTGTGTGTGTTGTGTGTGTGTGTGTCTCGACCCCCTGGTGAAGTGGAGCGGCGTATAGTCTCGCCGCTCCTGACCCTGAATGGATGGCCTGAAGCAAAGAGCTCATGTAGTCCGTCATGGCAGCCACAACCGACCAAACAGCATTGACCCTGCTCTGAGACGCTTTGGTCAGGACAGCAACATAAACAATCATATACACACATAAACACAGATGCATTTACAAATGGTGACGTCTCTCTCCAGGCAGGTTTGACCGGGAGATTGACATTGGAATCCCTGATTCCACCGGCAGACTGGAGATCCTGCAGATTCACACCAAAAACATGAAGCTCGGGGACGACATTGACATGGAGAGGGTGAGAGAGAGTAGCAGCCCGGGCCAAGACAAACTGACAGTTGATCATTCTTCAACTATTTTGATGGTCAAAGCTTAAAAAAATTAAATGTTTACGTAGATCTGGACTAATATTTCTGATGATTTGCTTCTTTTTTGTCTTATGTGACAGCAAATTGAGTGCTTTTTGGTTTTGGGATGTTATTAAATTGACGAGAACACTAAAGATATTACTGGGCATATTAATGGATAGTGAAAATAATTGTTAGGTACATAATTAGTTACAGAATTACATTTTGTCCACAGCCCCTTCATTTTAAAGATTGTTATTTTTTTATAAACTGTATTATAATATATTTTTCATGCAAATAAAAATGTAACAATATTCTTTCAGATAAAACATATGGGAGTCAATTAAAAAAGTGATTCAATTAAAGTACATTTCTTTAATTCTAAGAAAAACCCAGCTTAGCAACATAACATTTACATGAATTCCAGTGCACTCCTGTAAACTTTATATTATATAAGAAGTTGGAATTGTGACTTTCTCTACAAATATGTTGTTCTCATTAATGAATGTTTAAATGTTAAACTTCTTGCAATAACAGATTCAATTGAGTTCAGTCAGACAGCCCAGTTCCATCAAATGATGTCTAATTTTAGAGTTAAAAAACAAACACCCCCATCTGGTTGCATGCACCTACATTTTGAAACGCATATGTGCTACTTAATGAGTTAATAATAAAATCCCTAAACCTTTTTCAGATTGCGAAAGAGACCCACGGTCATGTAGGCGCTGACATGGCTGCTCTGTGCTCTGAAGCTGCTCTGCAAGCTATCCGCAAGAAGCTGACCCTCATCGACCTGGAGGATGATACCATCGATGCAGACCTGCTCAACTCACTGGCTGTCACCATGGACGACTTCCAGGTACACACGCAATTTACACCAACACGCATACACATTTTTGCTCATCCAAAAATAGAATGGGTTATTTAAGTTTAAGTTCTGTTACAGTCATTCCTGCCAAGAGTACAGATGTTAGAGACCCAACAACTCTGACCAATCAGAACAACGGGTCTTTTCCAAAAGAGGGCCTTAAAGAGACAGGCGCTCAAATAACATAAAACATTAAGGCAAAACTTAAATGACGACTTTAATGAAGTGTATTATGTCAACCAATTTCACATAACTGTAAAAGGTTAGTTAAAAGCACCTAACATTTTCTATTTAAATGTAATATTACTGCTTCCAACCAGTAATATGTGATATCTGTTGACATTTAATTAAAGTCACTGTTTCAGTTGTTCAGTGCATGCTCTAGTAGTAGAAAATGCAAATGCAATACAAAAGAAACTGAAATTAGCATTAATGCCTCCAAGAACGCAAGTGTGCACCTTGTGTACAACCACACTTAATGTAAATGTTTTGTAATGATACATAAATAAAGAGTGATGCATTTCCGCTCCCTGACGTTTATCATGTCCTCTCTCAGTGGGCGCTGAGTCAGAGCAACCCCTCGGCTCTGAGAGAGACTGTTGCAGAGGTGCCTCAGGTGAACTGGGAGGACGTTGGAGGACTGGACGAGGTCAAGAGAGAACTGCAAGAGCTTGTTCAGGTGAGAGACACTCACACACTCACACAAGCATGTTATGTGCATACCTACAAACAAAAGCCCCATCGGGGGTCCTTCTATCTCCACCTTGCTCTCCTCAGTACCCTGTGGAGTATCCAGACAAGTTCCTGAAGTTTGGTATGACTCCGTCTCGGGGAGTGTTGTTCTACGGCCCTCCAGGCTGCGGGAAAACTCTGCTGGCTAAGGCCATCGCCCACGAGTGCCAAGCTAACTTCATCTCCATCAAAGGACCCGAGATGCTCACCATGTGGTTTGGAGAATCTGAGGCCAATGTCAGAGACGTGTTTGATAAGGTGAGAGCAGAAAAAGGAAAATGAGGCATTCTGGGATCATTCATTTCACACTCTAACTTGTAACCCCCTCTGCCTACAGGCCAGACAGGCAGCCCCCTGCATCTTGTTTTTTGATGAGTTGGACTCTATTGCCAAATCCAGAGGAGGGGGAGCAGGGGATGGAAGCGGTGCAGCTGACAGAGTCATCAACCAGATACTCACAGAGATGGACGGCATGTCGGACAAGAAGAATGTTTTCATTATTGGAGCCACGAACAGGTGCACATGTGGGAGTTTTGTGTTCAGGGATTGTTAGCACATAGAAAGTCCTGATCTCACTTCCTGTACTCCTGTCTTCCCACCAGGCCAGACATCATTGACAGTGCCATCCTGCGGCCGGGTCGTTTGGACCAGCTCATCTACATCCCGCTGCCGGACAAAGCGTCTCGCACAGCAATCCTGAACGCCAACCTTCGCAAGTCTCCTATTGCAAAAGTTAGTGATACACACATACAGAGATTAATTACTTTCTTATCTACACAACATGGAAGCACAATCTGCGTTTGTATATCAGCCAATCAGTTTACCTGTGTCTGGTGAAGATCATGGGCTAGATTTGTTCTTAAGCCTAAGAACAGAGCCAATAGGAGGTGAAGAAGTCTAGTTTTCTCTCAAACTGCTTGAAAGACAGTTATTATGATTTTTTTGTCCAATAATGACAAAAATAAACTGTCTACTCCAGAGGCACGTTCCCATTCTACATCTTCCTCTCTTCTTCCTCTCCTTCCTGTAGGATGTGAACCTGGACTTCCTTTCTGGCATCACTGAGGGTTTCTCTGGAGCAGACCTGACAGAGATCTGCCAGCGGGCCTGTAAGATGGCCATCCGTGAGGCCATCGAGGCCGAGATCAAGGCTGAGCGCGAGAGGCAGAACCGACCCGGCGTCCCCATGGTCAGACTGTCAGGCTGGTGGCTACAGCTGCATGCTTGATCCTACACCATACTATAATATGTTAAGCAGGAGAACAATAACTGGTGTAGTGGCCGATTATGCAAAATAGAATGTTCAAAGGCCACTTAATCTACGAGTCGAATTCGAGTATTGACTCGCGTACATTTAAGAAATCCAAATACCTTGCGCGTTCCATTCAAGTGCTTTATTAGAAAGTTCACTGGATCAGCTGGCAACCCACTGCCGACTTGCAACATTTGCACGGCATTTAAATTAAATAAACAAACAAATCCAACAAGCGCACGGATGTGTGCGGTCAAAAACTTTTTCCGACTTTCTTCTCTCTAGACTTCCTGCTGTGTCACGCTGGCAGCGTCATTTATACCTGAGAATGCGCACTACATTCTACTTTCTATAAATAATAACAAAACATAAAACTAGAGCAGTCCATAAGCTAAACAAAACATTACAAAAACAGTATAATTATCGTTCATAGTTTTTCAGTTCATTTGAGTTAACTTAAAAGAATATTCAATTGGCTCATCAAACCATAATTAATTACCATTCAATAATGTGCCTAAAAGGCTCTTAAAACTGGGTTCTGTGACTTTGGTAACACTTTCTATGACCCACATGTCTGTAATGCACTATACATCTATAATCCCTTCAACTGCTCAAAGCACTGTGTATTTTATAGTTGTAAGCACTCGTAAATATTCATAATTCTTTATTAAAAAAATTATAATAACATACTATAATGTATGATTATAATGTCTTATGAGGTGAAATGTCATAAAGCGTTATAACTGTTGGTCTCTGCAAAGATCAGGGGTTCTTGCTAATTCCCATGGTTGTAATCAATCAATTAATAATATTTTAATAAAAATCATAATCACTATAATCACGTTTTAATGTTATCATATGTTACTCAGCTCATTGTTTGCTTTAAGTGAAGTAAAAATTACAAGTATTGTTATTGTATAGAATTAAGGATTTTTTTTCCCCTTAATTTTAACTAAACAATGACCAGAGTATCTGGCATTATAACATTAATAATAATACTCTATACTATATATAGTATTACAAATACTGTTATACAATTATTGCTATAAATCATTATGAATGTTTATGAGTGATAAAAGTTATAATTATACTGTGTACTATAGGAAGATCATAATGTGTTATAAGTATGTTTATTATAGAATTAGGTGTCATAGAAAGCGTAAGCGTGACCTGTGGGTTTTGTTACTTTCAGCCTTTGGACTGGGAACACACACACACACACACTCATTGCGTTTTTTCTCTGCCTGCAGGATGAAGACTTTGATCCAGTCCCAGAGATCAGGAAGGACCACTTTGAGGAGGCGATGCGATTCGCTCGTCGCTCTGTCAGTGACAATGACATCCGCAAATATGAAATGTTTTCTCAAACTCTGCAGCAGAGCCGGGGTTTTGGAAACTTCAGGTACATTTTTATGAATACAATTCATTTGTCACACAATCAAATGTAGTCGTGGATTCTTCTACAGATATTTGAAGTATTTATTTGTATCCCTTCTAGGTTCCCCTCTGCTACGGGTACCCGGTCTGGAGGTCAGGGGTCAGACTCTGGGTCAGGGGGGCCGGGACTGCAAAGTGAGGAAAGCAATGATGATCTCTATCAGTGACAGAGTTGGGAAGTAGTGGAGTACAAATACTTTGTTACTGTACTTAAGTACATTTTTCTGGCATCACTACTTTACTCCACTACTTATTTTTCTGACGACTTTTTACTTTTACTTCTTACATTTTCAACACAAAGCTGTACTTTCTACTTCTTATATTTTCAAAACAGGCTTGTTACTTTAGTTTTAATCTGCGTTTGGTGGTGTGATCATTATTATTTAGAGTCATTGCGTGACTATTGATTTGAACACGATCCATGTATCCATCATTTCCTGGTCTTCTCTAAACAAGAGGGACCAATGAGAATGGCAGACATTAGGGAGGAAGCGTAAGAGGCAGAGTTGTCGCAAGTTAGCGACAAGCGGAGATATTAATCTCCCTCACCCATGGCCATACAGTATTTGAGGGTGATGCTCGAAATGATCGGCATCAGAAGCGATTCCTGGCGATGTGTGGTTCAGGAAACTATTGTTACGCTGATGTGTTCAGCTACAATGTTACTTCATGTTAATTTGTTTGGTTTTCGAAGACACGGACACAAATACACACACAAATACTGAGTTGGGTTGTTTATTAATTGATCCAACAATTTTAAATAAAGTTCACTATATAACTTGTTTCAATTCAGTTTTTTTTAAAGCATTACCATAATAATTGTTGTGTTGTTTCCAAGGAACAGGTAGAGTCACCTTAGAATCTACAATGTATAGGCTGTAGTGCGAGAGATAGGGAGTCGAAGGCGGTGCAATGGAGGTGCAAAAGGGTAATTTATTAGAGTGTAGAAAAGGACATGTTGTCCGGTTGCAGTCCGGGAAGAAGAGAAAGAGCCAGGAGGGCACACAACATATATAGATAACAACACATATATGTCCGTGTGGAAACAATAGCCCCAACTGTAGTTCCATGTATGAATTATGTCCCAGTGTATTAATAGGTGGTCACCACAAGGCGTTTATTTCCCTGCTTTGTTTTTCTTTGCTTGTTTTCTAAATGTGTGTTGTTCAGTGTTGAAACATTCATTAGCTAACAATGACATTATTACAATTTGAAATAGAAGATCTTTAATGTTCTATTAATATAAAGTGAGGTCCAGTTACCATCTCTGCTAATAGGCAACAGGTGAGGGACATATATTTATTATCTGTAAATGAACACACCTGGGGCCTATACTACGAAGCTGGTTCAACCTAACCTGGATATGTTTGAGTTAGCCGGTTGGCCTAATCCAAAACATACGCGCTCTCGCTAAACTGTAATTCGACGCGGGTTATCACGTGGATCGCTCAAGCCGTTTCCTATCTAGTTAGGTGCGCGTTCAGATGAAAGGGGTGGTATCTGGAGCATTCGACCAATCACAAACATGGAGAAGCGTACTGACAGCGCAGCGTCATACTTCCTGAATGAAAAGTGAACTTTAATACTAGTCAAAAATGAAGAAGTTAAACTTTAAACATCCATGACTGAAACACTTTATCCAGGATAAAAGCCACATAGTTGCACCTGAAAGGTGAATACAGCTGGCAAAAGAAAAAGTGTTTGAATGCGTACATTAACAGGTTTATGATATCACTGCCCCATCTAAAACACGATTTGACTTTAATTACATTTGTCTCGAGTGTTTCGTCAACTTAATGTGTTGCTTAAAATAATACTTCTGCATACAGTAGGCCTATGTGACACTGTGAGTGTTGCACGGCCCGATACGGCTCAGCTGACTCAGATAAGAAAATATATGATACATTATGAAGTGATATGCCGCGGACTGTACTTAATGTTACTTTGATCCGGTTACGTATGTTGTGGCAGATATTTAAGTAAGCTTTCTTAACGCTAATGTTATAATAGTCAGATTGCTCTGAAGATGGGAGGTGATATTCTATTAATGTTCACGTTCACACAGTCGGTGATTTTTGCCGGCCGTCTTTCCTGCGATGGCAGCTTTTCTGTATTTCCTTTCTCCTGTAATATGACTTGATCGCTTTAAACTCCGCACACTGAGCTCTGATTGGTCAGCAGGCAGTGCTTTCACTGAGTTGAGCTCTTAGCCTGCAACCTAACCTGGTCCCGACCAGGTTAGCCGCTAAGCATAAGTTACCATGGAGATCTAGCCTGCTAAAAAGAGAACCAGCTTCGTAGGACTGGAAAGCCGGAGTTTTCCCTGAATTTAGCCGGCTAAGCGAAAATCCTGCTTCGTATACCCCCCTGGTATTAACACACAATGACACTATGATGGAGCAAATAATAAGCATTAACTTCACATCATATATTTTCCATAACTATTTTAGTTTTGTGTGTAAAGGAAATAAAATCTTTGTGAAACGCCTATGGAGTTAGGGTTTAGCTAATAAAGGAATATTTATGCATAATGTCATATTGCAGTTGATTCTAAGGGCTTGTGGCTTTTCCATTATATGTTTAATCAGATGTTGTTTATAAGAGAAGCCTAAATTATCCTGCTGTTTCCCTCCTTATCAAAATTACAGTTTTTTGATCGCCAACGGAGCCCTGCGCCCCCCCCCCCCGAAATTCAAGGTGTTTTTGAGCAACAAAAAAAGTTTAATTTTGTTTTTTAAATATATATATATATAGCACCAAATTGCAACTAATCTATATCTCCTGACACTTTTCACATTGAACATGTGCTCTTTTATTAAATAAACTAAACGCTTTCATTTTAAGTTGTGAGTTTAGTGCTTTTGACCCTAAGAAACACTGATGCATTAATCCACAGCTCTGCTCCAGAGGATTTAAAAAATATATATCCCAATGCCACCCCCCCCCCCCCAGCAGTAAACCTAGGAGAAACACTGGTATGACCTTATATGATTTTTATAAACAACAATTTTATGTGGCATTTGCTATCATGACATTTTCCCTTAAGTAGCCTACAGTCTACAGTCAGACGTCTTATCATTATCAATCGATATGATAGGTAGGTATAGGTATAGGTATAGGTAGGTAGGTAGGTAGGTAGGTAGGTAGGTAGATAGGTAGGTAGGTAGGTAGGTAGGTAGGTAGGTAGGTAGGTAGGTAGGTAGGTAGGTAGGTAGGTATTGAAATGAAATTACAAGTTCCCGTATCAGGGGTGCTTAAAACACGCGCACATACACAACTGTTCGCAAAGAAAAAAAACAAGCAATATAAGACAAAAACAAGAAGAAAAGGGCAAGACAGTTAAAGTGTTTTGATGAATAAATAAATCGCATGTACGATATAAAAAACAAGGCAGTTGTATAATATGACAGTTAATATTTATTCTATCAAGATTTTGCATTAGTAGTGAACACCACTTTTAGAAAACAAGTTTCTAACATCACCAGCCCCCTGCCAGCGGAACCTTTGTCACTTGGCAAGAGGGGAAGTGTTTCTGGGAGGGACCTCTCCGCTGTTTATTTCCGGTGAAAGGCGGAGGTGGCTTGTGGAGGTGACCGAATGGCAGACAGCTGAATAATTTTGGAAATAAAATATTAACACTGAGCAGAAGTAAACTAAATATATCATTTTTTGTTGATAGTGTATAATCATCGTTGTTGCCATGGGAGCTCACCTGGTAAGACGGTATGTCACCGAGACGGACACCGAGCCGGACCCGACCAAGAAGTACGAGTTCGACCCCCAGTTCGGCTTTGAAGAGAGGGAAGCGAGAGGTTTGTCACCTTAATGCACCATACAGTGTGTTTATAAACACCTGGAGATAAACAGAGTCCATTGTCCTCGTATCTCAGCTCGTCTTATGTTAGCCGAGCTAGGGTCGAGCTAATGACAGCGTTAGCTTTAGGCTAACTGAGGTGCTCAGTGTCAAACTGCTGCAGATCTGTGCTCACTTTGTGCTGCTTTCCACCATAGGCTCCTGTTTTACATGCATTATATCGATATTATAGTTTTATTCTTACATGCTGTAACTGTTATACTCTCAAATATTGGGATATTTGTATATGCTATCCCTAATTATTTCAAATATTTAGTGACATACCTGTCTTGATGAATGTTTATTTATACATTGTCAGTGACCATACATATTTTTAAGAAACCACAAAGGAGCAAAACACATTTAACATGAAGAACGACTGACCAAAACAATACACAAATCCAAAAACACGTCAACACAATTTAGGCAAAACTACAAAGTCACTCCCACAACAAAAGACAACAGTTAAACCATTGAGAAATTCACTATAAACACGTTGCACTGTTCATTAAAAGCCCTAACCTGAATTCTATATTGATATTTACAGATTGGCTGTTGCAGTAAATCAGGGGCAAAATCATTGTTATCTGAGAACACAAATACATATATAGAACGTAGCACATATGATGCAGCTTCTGTTGTTTTTAAAAGTCACACATAATCAAGAATGTCAATATTCATATGCTATGTTTATACTAAATTGGCAGTGAACTCTATCTTTTATGCAAAGTAAGGTGTATATATAAGAACTACATTGATGGCTTTTGTTCAGAAAGTTGGTGTAAGTGAACCTGACTTAAAAAAAGTCCCCTTTTACATAGACCATTTACAATCTAGATTGAGTATGTTTTATTGAAATGGCACTGTGGCATGAATGTGTTTAATAGTGTCTTGTATTTGTAAATGAGGGTTCTAAAAAAACTTCAGTATAATAATTAAAATGTACAGCCTTAAGCCTAGGAGCATAACGGGCTCTGTATTTGGACCACCCTTAAAGGTCACCTATTAAGCAAAATCCACTTTTTCATGTCTTTTATACATCAATATGTGTCCCCTCTGTGTTAAGAGATTGTGAAAGTTTCAGGAAAAAAGATTCTCTCTTTTTTTGTCCTGATCCATTAATTTATATAAAAACCTGTCTGAAAATGAGCTGATCAGATTTTGGCCACTTTATGATGTCATAACGATTTTTTTGGCTTGTGCAACCATTAGCCAATCACCCCCCCCCCCCTTATCACCTGAATCTCCTCATAGAGCACCTTTGTGTTATTTTTAACCAAATCTCTCTCCGAGGGGCGTGGGGAGTGGCTCCTTATTTTTATCTAAAGTCACAGACACAGAATCAGCACTTTTGATACAGGGCTGAAACAGAGGGGATGATGGGATGCTACAATGATCTGTTTGGTATTTTGAGCCAAACACTTCAGAGACATGTTTTGCATATATCTGAGACCTATAATATATTGATGAAAAACAGTATAATAGGGGACCTTTAAGACTCCCAAAGTAAATTATATAGTAACATCAGGTGCTTGAATTGTAAGATGACCATGAAAATGTGTATACCTTTGCCAGAGATGGTAGCCACCCAGGATCAGATGAACTTGGCCCAGCTGCCTCTGGAGCAGAGGGACTACTGTGCCCAGCACCTCCTGAAGTTCATGAAGTGCAAGAGGGACACCTGGCCCAACTTCCTGGCCTGCAAGGATGAGAGACACGACTGGGACTACTGCGAACACCAGGAGTAAGTGCAGACAGCCGAGTAGAGTTTTGACATTTAAAAGGTCGGGGTTAGGCGCTCTTAGCAGACTCACAAATATAACCAATGAAACTGGGCCTCTAGATCTAGTCCTTTAATTCCAAATTTGAAAAATACAATACATTTGTTTTCAGTGATAGCACAGGAAAACCCAAACTAATGAAACTGTCTGTTTTATGGCCTTTATATATACAGTTTTACTTTGTTTCAACAAGGTCGAGTTAGTAGCTGTTATGGTGCTTTAAATGGTATCACACATCTATGCTTCTTTAACAGTTTGTCAATTGTAGCTGTTAACATTTACATTTTTGTGAGCATTATAAGGACTTCTCATCGATATTTGTGATCTTATTGGCTAATTTCCCTTTTTTGAAATCACAAAAAACTCCATGTTTTTTTTTTCAAACTTTTGACAGTTTGCTACTAACAATAATATTTAATTATAAACCTCTTCTAATCTACATCTTTAGTTTCAGTTTTGAGAGTAAAACGTAAATCTTGAGATGATATTGACCCACCTTGTCATAACCATGCTCTCTGTGGTTTTCTGTCTCCAGCTACGTGATGCGTATGAAGGAGTACGAGAGAGAGAGGAGGCTCCAGCTGAGGAAGAAAAGAATCCAGTCTCAGCCTGAAGCTGCATGATCACAGCTGATGCTTCTTCTCTGTATATATGTGCCGCTGTCCACAATAAACACGATTGTTTAACCTCTACAATCCTCAGTCTTATTATTGTTAAAACATACAGTAATCCTCTGGATCAGTGGTTCCCAAGGCCAGGCCTCAGATGATTTGAGGCCAAATATCATATTTAGACTTTTTTTTTTTTTACATAACGCAATATATTGTCACTAAAAGCCTTGTCTCACATTACAATAAAATATAAAAATAATTGATTAATTAATTTGAATAAAAATTCAAGTTAGTATTAAAGGCATAAAAAGACAGAAATGTATAATTCTTTCTATAGAAATGTTTCTTCTGCCCGTAAAGTGTCCAAACCAGGCTTTTCTGGATAAGCGCATTTTTAAAACATAGTCATTGTCCATGCCGGTTTCAGTTGGATTATTTGTCACAGTTGCTCCGATCAGATCGGTCTCCTCCATTTTGTAGATTATTTACGACTTTTGAATCCACATAAACACATCGGCAAAATCCGGCTTACTTTGAGCATGTGTTTTAAACAGTTTAATCCCTTTGTGAATTGTTTCCACTTGTGCCGTCCTTTAATTTCTTCATACAGTGGGAATCCAAATGAATTAATCCTGAGTCCAATAACCATCAAAGTCACTCCAATAGTGCTCCTTAATTACGCTTTCATCCTCCTTTAACAAAATACTTCAGTCATCCAGTTTGTGACAGCAGTTGTAGCATTTTTGAGACTTTTAAACTTTAATTACCGCTGTTGCCCCCCCCCCCCCCCCCCTTGTGTGTGTGTGTGTGTGGGGGGGGGGGCACAACTTCCAACAGGAGTCATTTGGGGGGGCTCTTGGGAAAAAGGTTGGGAACCCCTGCTCTGGATGATGTCACTATAAAGTCACTATGTGCAACCTTTATTTACCTAAGAGCGTTTGATGGAGGTTTTGACCTGATTCAGGAAATGGTTTAAATGTCCTCTCCTTTTTGATCTTGTCCAGGATTTGTCCTTTGTACTTTTGTTAGAACCCATGTTTACCAGAACATGAATATCTTAACATTTTGATTATGCAAGTAAATATAATGTATTTGTCGGCAAAAGAGAGATTATCCGTCCATTGAACCCAATAAAGACTATAAAAATAACCTTGAACACTAGAACTTGGAGAATGATATTGGATGCATTCAGCTGCTTAATGGCCTAAATAAGATGCCTTTTGATTTTCCTGTAAGACCAGTTCTTACATTCTGTAAAATCACGTTACCTTCAAGTTTATTTAAAATTACCACGTTTTTTCTTCTTGTAACATGTTTTGGTAGGATCTCCAATGTTTGTGCGTGTCCCAGAGCTTACACATCACAACACCTGCCCTATAATGATAAGGGGGTGTTACCTTTCCTTTATTATCAAGAGGGATTCTTCATTCAGTGCGCCTGGGTACGAGTAGATAACGATTATAAAGGACGTTTGATGTATTTGGAGTGTTATTTTCTTTCCTACCTAAAATATACATTTAATAAATATCGAAATGCAAGTCCATCACCATTTTATCATAAAGAAACATTGTTTGTATGACTCGAGGTATTCACGTTTCTGTTTTGTAACCAAAAAGCACTCAGTTGTTCCTATCTGACCATTTCTATTTACATTTGAACCCAAACTAAGCCCATCAAATCTGTCAGACTCTGCACTCTGCAGTGCATTCGTGTAAAAAGCTCAAGGATAACCACACTGGTATAAATACACAGAGCGGCAACTGAATCACAAACAGAGCAAGACAATCATTAGTTTTACATTTTTTTTATAAATTACTTCAAACATCAACAAAATGACATGCTGTTATTATTTCAAATGTAGATGAATGGATATAAAAACTAAGCCTTTGAAATTTGACTGAATCTCACCGGATGCAGATTCAGCCTCATAACCACAGAATTAGATGACAGCGTGGTAAGACACTCTTTATCGACAGTATGTCATTCAGGATACACTGGCTCGTTTGAAGGTCAAGAACAGCTCTTGGAGACCAAACACACATAAGTCAATTAACCAATCAGATTGGATTATGGGGAAATGAAAAAAATAGAGCAAGCGTTGGTGCTTTACATTTTCACTCAATATTACAGGAATTACAGATAGGAAGCAAAAGAGGGGGAAAGAAAAAGGGGACATTATTGAAGCCAGTCAGTCTACTAAGCTCCAGTGTAAAACGGAGAGCCCCCTCTCAGTTAGCGCAGAGCTGAAGGCTTGAGCTCTACAGGATGAAGGGCAGGATGGGGGAGCGGAGGGGAGGGTAATCGCGGAACTCCTTCAGGTAGCTGCGGTGCTTCCCTTTGGCCCACACAGTCATCTGGATGAAACCCACCAAGGTGAAGAAGGCCACCGGCAGGCACTGGGTCATCAGTGTGAAGCCCAGCCAGGAGCCCAGCTGCAGAGGAAGAGGAGGAGGAGGATGGTTACACACAGACTCATACCACAAGAGGGCAGCAGTGTATTTAACTCTCAGTGTTGGAAATGAGCTCAAAGCTAAATCTGGCACTGTTACGCTTGACACATTTGAATATTTTAAGTGTTCATTACCGTGCATTGTCCCTGCCAAATAAACGATTAAATGAAAATGTTCATTCAAGGGAATACAGAGGGACAACCTAATCCAGTGGATTTATCTCAATTATCAAGCAATAAATAATAGTTTGATGCTGAAAAAGGCATCAGTAAGCATTTGAAGAAAAAATGATCTTACCTCGTAGGTGTAGTTGGGGCAGGAGACCAGCACGAAGATCCAGGTGAAGGGGTTCTTGGTGGGATAGGGAATCTTCCTGGTCTTAGAGCCTAGATGAAGGTAGCAACAAAAGGAAATGTCAATCTAATATGACTTTTTATTACATTTTAATAGCATTCTATAACATGACATTTTTAGCTCCGCCAAGTTCTTGGCTTGTTCTTTTATTAAAGGGATTACAGAGGTGTGCTGGCCTGATTTTCATAACACTTGGGGGAAAGGTGTGGTAACAAAGAACCTATTATATTAAAGATATTAAAAGCTCATGAACGCATCGATGTCCTGAGAACTACTTTCTGACTGTGGAAGGAGGCCCTTGGTGGATGCCTGTGCTCCCAGAGTGTAACACTAGAGAGTAAGTGCTCCCCTCTCACTGGCTTTAAACGTTGAGGCTTACCTATAAAAAACATGATGTCACATACCTTCATTTGAGCAATATTTGACTGCAGGCATGTGTGTGTGTGTGTGTGTGTGTGTGTGTGTGTGTGTGTGTGTGTGTGTGTGTGTGTGTGTGTGTGTGTGTGTGTGTGTGTGTGTGAGAGAGTGGTTAGCGTACAGGTGTTACTGTTGTTTGTACCTGGTGGACGGAGGTTCCGCAGAGCGATGTGGATGGAAAAGTTGCCAATCTGACAGAACTAAGAAAGAAAAAATACAATAAATAAAACAGAGAACCATATTCATACATGTTCTGTTGTAGAAGAACATGTATGACAGAATATAGTTTAGAATGCCAAAAAAACAACTATTTAAGTGATGTAAATAACAAGTAATTGTCTACTTTTTTGTGTCAATACTTACCAAGAATAAGATGAGGGCCAGTCTGATTTGCTGCTCCCCGTATACTGCATCAAGACATAATTGACAATAATAATGGTGAAAAAGAGTTATAATAACCCAATGGTATAAGTTAAGTGTCTGGTGCATGTATACTCACTGGGTGGTGTGTACAGCGGGTGGTTGATGTAGTAGGCCATCCATGCTGCAAAGCCCCAGTAGTACGTGCAGTTCTGAAACAGGATTATTGTCATGTTCAGACTTGATTGTTGTGGCAGTAGCAATGCACTTCTCACTCAAACTAAACGGTTCATGATTCACCTTTGACTCCTCATTTGGGAATATGAATGTACAGCAGGATAAGACAGTGGTAGAATGCATCTCACCTTAAAGATGTTGCGTAGCGGCATTGTACCATGAGAGAAGCGATGCACAAACAGCGTCTCCAGATTCCTCTTAAGGAAGTGGAAGGAGTGACACATACAGGCGAGACTGCAGAAGGACAAACACTTGTGTTAGCTCTAGCGATGGGTGTCGTTAAGATTTTAACGGTACTACTACTTTTATCGATACCGCTTATCGATCCGGTCCTTTAACGGTACTCTTATCGGTTATTTTGAACAAAAGAAAAGGTAAATTAACTAAACAAATTGTAAATAATGTGAACTTACAGAACTGTAAAAAACAAAAACAAAACAAGTATTTTCTGCAGTAACACAGTGGTACAGAGCAACACAGGTGGGGCATACAGGTATGCTGCCAAAGGCCTGACGGTTCTTCTGGAGGAAGATTAAGGCATACATAACACCTGACGTGGAAACGTTACTCGTGGATGGGGGGGCTACAGAGCTACTAGAAAGACAGTCGAACCCGGTGCATTCCTCCGTCTGAATGTGGAGCACTTTTGCTAAATGTTTAGACAAATTGCTCGTGTTACCGCCCTCACATGCTAAACTCTTATTGCACTTTTGGCAACGAGCATTGTGCACATCGAGACGGGTAAAGTTTAACCACAGCTTTTAGCGCTTAGTTATTTCTGCCGTGTGTGTGTGTTGCTGCATGTAGCAGCTGCGTGTATGTGTAAACCGCCCCGCCCCCTCACACACAGACGGGGGAGAGATCTCTCGTCTGGATTGGAAAGATCGAAAATACAAAAAAGACGCATTTTATAGTCTTATTGCATATCAGAAACGGAGTTGGCAAAACTAAAACTGCAATATAATGTTTATGTAGCAATAATACATATGAAATATCTTTTTTTAAATGTCTCCAGTACCGATAAAAAGACCGATAATGTCGGAGCTTAACGGTACCACTGTCTTTTCCGCCCCGGGTCCCTTTAATACCGGGGCTCGGTACCCATCCCAAGTTAGCTGTACTGTAGTTATCAAAAACAGGATGCTGCTAACATGGCGTCGGTGTGGAAAGAGCACAGCTTAAAAAGGAATACGCTTGGTTATTGACTAACATAAATACCACTCTTGTGTCTGCATGTTTAACATAAAGTAAGGCAATAGCCAGCAGCTGATTAGCTCAGCTTAGCTAAAGACTGGAAACTGGGAATGTCTGGCCTTTTTTATCCTACCACATATTTGAATTTAAAGCGAAATTGCCATGATCTATATTTAGTTCCCCAAATTAGATCAAGTCATTTTACACTATGTTCCTTGAAGTCTTGTTTTATATATTTTTTAAGTAAAATTATAAAACTACATTTTTAAGCAAACTTCCATGTTTGGAGTATTTAAAAAAAATACAGTTTTAAAATATCATAGTTTCTCTTGCAGAAACGTGCCTCATCCTTTCTTGTTTCAGGCTAACGACAAAACTTTCTAGAGCACTTTTGAACAAATCCAAAGGGTGGACATTGGTGACCTGTATAGAGCTTTAACTTATTCAATATATATGACTTTGAAAACAAGTTTCAAAAGTGCTGCGGTTGAATTCACATATGTCAAATGCTGTTTCTACTGTGACTTATTTTATACTGGTAGACAGTTGAAATCAGCTTGCATGTGTTGGTGAAGTCACTGGTCTGGTCTGGATGTCATTAATGCTTGTTTATTAGTGACAGAGAATGTGGTTTGGTAGTGAGAGTGAATTTATATTTGGTGGAACTTTAAGAGGGACAAGAGAGGCGCTACTTAATTATAAAGTGTGTGAAGATGTGATGAGGACACTTACTGAACGACCCAGTGTTTACTGGTGGAAAAGTCATATTTGGAAGCGTAGATGAAGGGAACTCTGAAATAGAACATCAGATAGAGGACCAGAGGACCAGTGTACTCGGTGAGAAAGACCTGAAGAAAAGAGGGACAGGATAAGTTTGAGCCTTTTTAACAGTTTAAGTGTAGCCCTAATGTCATAATATTGATATACTTTTGTTGCTGTGTTAGAAAGATAAATATAGCCGTCCCGCTCCTGGCAGAGCCAATTTAACTACGACACACGCACCCTTTTTACCCAGAGGGAAATCTCAATATAGCTCTTCTTGATCCCAGTCTGATGTATGTGGGCTTGTCAGGATTGTTAGATTGTGACAGCACAACATGCCCCCGCCCCCGACCCGCCCCCGGCCTTTTGGCGGCTCCACGGTGTACTCACTGTGACCCAGCTGATCTGAGCTCCCAGGTCTCTGAAGTAGAAGGTTGCCGTGGTTCCCACAGGTAGTTGCTGCAGGACATCCTCGTCCTTCAGAGACTTCCCCTCTGAAACACAGACAGGATTACTTCAGGAGACTACAGAAAACGAGGACTTGATTACAGAGGGAAGTGATAAGATGTTCCCTTTAAGTATACTGACAGAAAAAGTACTTCCTGTCTAGTTGTACTAGAAGGAAACTCAATCCCAGGAACTTTTATAGAATTATAATTGTTGTTATAAATAAACCCCAAACAGTTTATTTAGAACTCATTAAAGACATGGTTAATAAATACTCTGTCGGCCTTAAAGGGGCCCTATAGAGTGGTGCAGTGACGAGTCCTGAAACCCGGAAGTGAGTTAGCATTTTACCACTACCGGTTCCCTCGTCTCAGAGTCAATGGGATTTCTCCACAGGATTTTGGAAAATAGCTGGAAATAAGGTCTGTGGTTGACACAAATTTAAGAGACAGATCACGTTTTATCCTACGACATTAAATACATCAGCAGTGACCCCACTGGTGATATTTGAAGAGTTTACGTGTCTGAAAAACGATGGTTGTTAACAAGTGACTGAATAGGACTATAGAAGTTGTCGAGGACGTTGTACGTCATTACACCGAACACGTAAATATTCCCGCTAAGTTTGTTTTCCCTGTTCTGCTTGAAAGCAAGTACCTGCCTCTTGCAAACTGTTCAAAGAAACGCTTCAACTTGTAACAATTGTAATCTGTATTTTTGAATATGGATCTTAAGTCGGCGTGACGTTGAAGCAGCGACCCTGCTGTAGTTCCTTTATAGCATAACGTTAGCATTTTGCTTCTGGCGACTAGATTTATGATTCGAAAATTATAAAAGTATGGTAGACATGTGGAGATTATCCGGCTGAACAAAACGTGCATTTATCAAACAGGTTTGTTCTCCACAGACCTTATTTTGAGCTATTTTCCAAAATCCTATGGAGAAATCCCATTGCTTTTTTGTCGAGGGAATCCGAGCGCAGCTTACTTCCGGGTAAATACCTCATCCCTGCACCACTCTATTGTGCTTTTTGGGGTTTTCCATTTCCTGTGTGATATAGGTTTGTGTGCATGCAAATGGTCTGCAAAGGCTAAAATCCCTCCCCTCCCCCCCACACACCCCCATGTTTACATAGTGACATCACTATGTAACACTGGCTCTTTTATTGGCTAGCGCTCCAACACATTGTACGGGCTAAGGGGCAGGACATCACTAAGCGGTTGACTAATCACAACACAGCCGGTCAGCTAACCAATCAGAGCAGACTGGGCTCTGGTTTCAGACAGAGGGTGAAAAGAGGTGCTGCAGCACAGGCAGTATGGCATTAACCCTTAAATGAACAACAAATATTTAAACAATAGTAAATCACTCTTTGGCTTACTGGCATCAAGGCGAATGGACTGTCGGGTTGGGTACCACTGAGGATCTGAAACAGACAATAATATGTCACAAACATCTTAAGACAGGACATACATTTTTTATTTTTAGCTTGATGTTAAATCCGATTTATGAGGCTTTAGTCGCCTGCAGAGAGACGGCACTCACGGCTCTTGTGGAACATAGACTTGATCTCTCCGATAGTGGCATTTGGCTCGACCTGCAAATAACGCATCAGTAAATTAGTAGAGGGACACGTACACAAAAGGAACAGATAATAACCCTGTTTTCCATTCATGAAGGGGGTAAATTTAGCTCCCATACCCTGTGGATGTGGTTCATTTAACAGCTGGTATTAGGGTTTCAAAGCACACACACATCCACAGCCAAAGTACACGACCTTGTGCCAGGCTGCCAGAAATTGCCCAACTACCCCAAATATAAACCCAATGACTTCAAAACGGAAACATGAAGAGCTCACAGAGGCAGATCCGGACACAGTTGTTACGGGATGGTCTGAGGACATCAACACATTCCCAACATGTGATCAAATGGCAAATCTGTTTGATTTGAGCAGCTTTCACACTTCATACTGCTGCCAGAGCCCCCTCTTGTGGAGTAGTAAAATTGTTAAAAAAGAAAGTTGTCTGAGCCCTAGGATCTGCTATAATACTGAGCGCTTCAGTTTAAAAGGCAACAATACGTGTACACCAGAGCTTTAACAAATGTTTATTATTTATATATTTTTGGAATTATATTTATCTGAGGGTCCGAAAGATTTCATAAAATCATTTTAAAAATGTCCACCAATGTTTTAAAAAGAGCAAATAAGACTGGCAAAGCAAATACCAGTGTTTTTGCACACTACACATGTAAGCACTGACTAAATATGAATTATAAATATAACTGGCTGTCTGTATGCTTTTATAGTTTGTTTATAATTGGTTTTTATTACTGTGCTGTTTCACCAATTATGCTCGCATTTACTTTGAAACATGTTTGACTTCCCTAACCCATATGAAATGTGCTCTATGAATCAAGATTGGCGCCTTAAGCATTAATATTTATATTTGTAAATGACAACTTTTCTGACTGATAACCATTCATTTGAGATTATTAAACAAACTTGCTTAACACAGGTGCATTATTAACCCTATTTTCATTATTTGTCCTATATCCGTTTCAGTATACAGAGAGTTATTAAACTTTTAAGACATTTTTTATTGGTATGAAAACAAACTCATCAATGCACATTACATCCTAATAACATCTCAGGCATCCGCTTCAAATTTCTGTCAGGCCTCTGACATTTAGGAAGCTGGTGACAGGTTTCTCTAAACATTTTAGCAGTAAGCCTATATTACCCTGCTGGCCATGCCTCACTGTGTTAAGATGCTTCTGTGAAATGTAAACCTCTATGCGGCCCGTCACATTGACCAAGCAAAGGTGTGAAGACCAACACAAGAAAATATAAAATGATGTACTAATTTAAACTTCGATTGCAAATCATCAGGCCTTTAAAGAGTTGAACCACAAGGACACGGTTCAATTACATGTTAATGTTTGTCAGAGAGCACTTAACATACTATCAACCTATGGCCAAGACACTTATCAGATTACCAAGGCAAGCACTGTTCAGTATAGACAGTGTGGTAGTTAGGGATGGGTATCCTTAGGATTTTATCGATACCGCTTATCGATACCGGTATTTTTCGATACTCTTATCGATAGTTTTCAATAATTTGGTGCTCAAAATTATAGACATGATTACAAGATGTGAAGATTAAACAACAGTCATTTTATTGTAATTTATTTGTATTTATTATTTAATGTAACTTTTTCAATGTCATACCAAGCAGGTATGAGTGTGTTTGACAGTGTGTCTCTGGAAGGGTGGCGGTAATTAGGGGCAGTTCATAAATCCATGTAAACATGACCATTATTCAATTAAAACGAGACGCTGCGTGCGCACCTCCTAAACCGGAAGCTCCGGTCGGCTAACTATTATAATCCGTTTATTGCGTTTATTATTTATAATTGTAATTATGGATTATCCATTTTAAAGTTACACAGAGACATTGGATTAACCGTTTTTATGCCCTTGAACACAACTTTTGATCACAAAACAGCAAAGGTAAGACATCATTAATGCAGATAAAATGACGTAGAAAAGATCGCTTTTGCCAGTTATGTGCTAAAGTAGCCGTTAGCCCTGTTAGCCCCGTTAGCCCGTTTTGCTAAGTGTTGATTTAGACTCTTGGTGTTGGATTTCTGTTCCGTGTAGGTAAAATGGTTAATATCGTCTGTTGGCTGAGTTTCTTCCCGTTAAGTGGGTATGCATCATTAATAGGTTGTTAAATATTAAGAAGCCTTGAGACCCTGTTTCTAGCAAGATGTTGGTCTGCCCCTATGGTCTGCCCCTGGGAGTCTCACAATAATAAGAGCGCTGTTAGGAGAGATGACGAGTGGCATTCACAGTGGCCAATCAGAGTGCTACTCAAACTGGCTACGCCACACGGGATGAGGGTTCCCAACCAACCAGAATTGTTTAAAGTTAAACTAAGGAAGTAGCATAATTCATATACCGATAGCAGCACCGTTTGTCCGGCGGCTTAACGGTATACCAATACCGTCCAATCAGGTACCGGTGCTGGATACCCATCCCTAGTGGTAGTACTGGATTAGCTCTTCTGTTAAGATGAAACGCCCAAAAAGTTGAATTTGTATGGTATTTTAGGACGCCTTGAACGTTAAACACCAATATGTATTTTCTGTGAGAAAATGCTCCTCAAAGATCATGTGTGACCTATCTGAAAGTAATTAGTCTGCCGCTGAAATAAACTTGGCTTCTGTTCACGCCGTCCAGAGGACCGCAGGCCATTTTCAGCACGATGACATCACTGAGAAACCTCCTCTCTGTGACCCTTGCCCCCACCACCTCCCTCTCTTTCAACAGGCTTCATTCAGTATTGAGATCACTGGGAGTGTCCTGTAAACTCTGACCCAGACATGGGTCAGAGTTTGAGGGACGGGTGGCGCAGTGGTCTGTGCGTTTGATCATCAGATCAAGGGGGCGTTGGTGAACTCCAGTTCGAAACCCGCTCCCGCCCCACTGCGTCAGGCCGTTGTGTCCTTGGGCAAGACACTTCACCCGAATTTGCTCCTGTGGGTATTGTCCACAGTAGATGACCATTACATGTATGTATGATCTGTATGTGTAATGTGTATCTGTAAAGCGCTTTGAGAGTCATTGATAAAGCGCTATAATAAATATAAGGATTATTATTATTATTATTATGATACAGGATTTGAGTTTTATTTCTAACTCAGTCTGTTAGTTCAGCGCTGTTAGCCTACTTTAGGAAACCAGTCCCATCGCGGGGCTCTCTGCCCAGATCCTGATCTATATCTGTCAGACTTTCTCTCCTAAAGGTGTTAATATTGTGCATGGTATCACCATGGGAACTCTGCTAAGCCGACAACAGGGTATAATCCAAGAAGGATAGCCCTTTATACTTGGTGGTCTTCAGTGTTTCCCACAGAATTTGATTCTATTTGTGGGGGCACTGCACAAAAAAAAGAAAAGCCAAAGGCCCCTTAACCTATTCGGGTGGCCCACGCATCCACCCCCCCCTCAAATAACAAAATACATGTGAGTTCATGGCTACTGTAGCAGACAACGTTCTTGTTGCTCTTGTTACACCGGAGTTGAGGATCTGTGAGGTTTATTCTCCCAAAAATATAATTTACAATTTAGGCCTTTAGCAGACGCCTTATTCCACAGCGACTTACAATGACCGATTACAGGGACATTCTCCTTGGAGTAACCGAGGGCTAAGTGCTTTACTCAAGGGCAAGTGGTGTTCCAGGCAGGATTTGAACTCGCAACCTTCCGATCATCAGCCCACCTCACTATCCATTAGACCACCACCAAAACAAAACAACAACAAAAACAAAAACAAAAATTTTTTTTTTTTTTTTTATGACATCCATTTGTGGCAGACCATATTTAATTGTGGCGGCCCGCCACAAATAAATCAATGTATGGGAAACACTGGTCTTGAAGAGCAGCTTTTGAGCCTAGCAGACTAACGGAGCGTCCACACAGCAGCGTGCGTTGACGCTTGGAGTGTCTGAAGCTTGGGGATTTTTTGCGAGCAACGCGACCAACAACCAATCACATGAATCTCCCGCCCCCAACATACAAAGCAATATCAATGTTAAAACGAAGTAAACTGGATATAAAATCCCCAAACAGGCGAAAACCTACCAGTTTCACCCACTGTCTCTGCCACCTCCCTCCATGCCTCGCTCCTCTGGTTTGTATCCCAGTAGATGAACAGAGACTGATCCTACAGCACCGGGTGATTCACTACCGCTATAATGAATTTTCCCTCCATTTTTTGGAATATGAGGAAATGACCTGCGTAGTCTCTCCCAGCATACACACGGTTTGATTGGCTAGCGCTTGTACTGGCAGATTTGCATAAACGGGATTTCATTGGCTGACGCCTCCGTCGAGGCGTCAAAAGTTGAACATTGCTCAACTTTAGAAGCCAGCAACGCTCCACGTCCCAAAATGCAGTTCGGCTAAAAGTGACGTCACCCCATTCAAAGTGAATGGGCAGAAGCGTTGGAAGCTTCAACGCACGCCGCTGTGTGGACGGGCCGTAACGCCACTGTAAACTTGGCTAAGTCGCACACCAACAGCACACTAAACCCTCCTAATGCAGCAGCACTGACTTACAGGCAATGTGCAAGGTACTGTAATATACCAACTAAAACAATGAGCTAAAACATCCTAACAAAATAAAGGTGAGTAATACAACACTGTTACTCTCAAATCCAGACTAAGTCCATCAGTCTGAGTCTAAATACGTTATTGTGTATCATCTTTAAAAACATTTGACATGACATTTACACGACATGACAAGAACACGGTACAGCCCCAATGAAAGCCGAGAGCTTCCAGTCTCAACAAATTCTCTCTAGTACTTTTATGAAAGTCCTCTAAGCTGCTTCCAAAAACAAACTTTTTGGAGTCAACAATAGGTTATGTGCACACTATCTTCCTTTTTCCAGATATGTGCTGCATTTTTCATGCCCATGTATCTAAAGGGATTGATTCTTTGCCCAAAACATACATTTGCTCAGCATTTTGACCAAGTCTTACTTTCCATTTTCATAGAAATACCTTCCTTGTTATATGCACCTTAATATGTAAAGACTACATCTGTCTTCAAATTAAATCTATTTTTCTTTTTGGGTACCAGGCATCTGTCTAACAGTGTAGAGGGGTGTCTTGGGACTCACAAGTTGTAGAGAAGTTATTTTATTGGTGTAACTTCTGACATCAAGTAGGCTGTTGTGTTGGTTTGCACAGCTGTACAGTTGTTTATGCCATGTTGTTTACCAATGTGATGTGTGTGTGCACAGATAACCGCACACAGACAGCAGGGTTGTGTTGCGTTGGGACTGTAGTCCAGTGGTTCCCAAACTTTTTCAGTCGGGACCCCCGTGGGTATTGGAAATATTTTCGGGACCCCCCAACCCGGTTCCCATCTATATTGGTAGGATTCATTGTATATTGTTGTAAAAACATTACATTTTCTCTGCTAATAATAAGAAGATACAAAGATCCAACTAGGGGTGGGCGATATTGAAAAATATAATATCACGATATTTTTCAAGCAGTATCACGATAGACGATATTTATCACGATATTTGTTCATGTCGGTTATTATGGTTATTTTTCAAGTTACTTAACAGTACAACCACCTACAAGGTAACAAAGACTAAAATAAAAAGGAGTAACAGACCAAAATACCATTTCAAGCTGGTTTTAATTCTGCAATGAATCCCTGAATGAACAATTCAACAGGAATTTTGATATGGCTTCCTCAGTGTTCAAGTAGGTAGGCCTACACCCTACACAACAAACGTTAACACTGGTTTATTCACCAAGTAAAGTGCACTTCTTGCTAAATAAAATAAAATATTCAAGGCACAGTTTCTCAGTATAAAAATGCACTTTCTGTTTTAGGTAGCACTAGCAGTGATGTAACATCAATAAACATGAAAAGGAGAGTAAAACATAACTAAGTAAAACATAAAACATCAATGAGGAAAAGTCAGTGCCAAACAATTAAAATGTAAACTTTAGACTTGAAGTGCAATCAAAGACTTTAACATAACTGAACATCTGTTTCAAAGGAGAAAAACAATATAAATACCTTATTGATCAAATATAAGCCAACAGATTCAACCAAGACAATAAATGAAGTGCAATACTGTCTGAATCCTGACTAGACAGCATGGTTTTGACTAACCGTTATCAGTATTTAGTTACTTCGGCATCATTTTGAAACGTGTATTACAATTAAATCACGGTAAAATAGGTTAATTTTGTCGTAGTTGGTTTCCACCACAGTATTTACATGGATATAAGCCCCGTCCCCTATCCAGCGCGTCCTGTTTGAACGGCAGGAGTAAACACAGCTGACAGCCGCGGTGAAACTCCAGCGGTTAGGGTGAGAATATTCGCATTGCGTCCGTTGTGAACGCAGCATAACGCAGTTCAGAAACCACTGTTCTAATGCTTTTAAAGCAACTTCGAGATTTTAACAGTATCAGGGGCACGCAGGCCATGGTGGCCGTAGGACGTACAATTATTTTCGGGGCTTCGCGGCCAGACCGGCCGTCATGGACGCCGTGAAAATCCTACCCTGGTGCACTATCACGATAGATATGATATATCTGAAAAGGCATATCGTGGAGACCTAATATCGTCTCGACGATATATATCGTCATATCGCCCACCCCTAGATCCAACTATCATTTTATATTTTATTATGGATTACACATGAACAAAAGTGCTAGATACTGTGAATTAATTTGGCCTAATTAAAACTGGTTGGCCTTCTTCCCTGAGTAGTAGATTTTTAAATTCAAATGTCTTTAAGGAAAATATATTAATTAACTACTATTTATACTGCAGGTTGCAAACGATCACATCACTTTACCATTCATATTCCACACATAGCTTATCAATTACTTGTGTGTGCTTGCTTTCCCTTGCAGATCTTCTCAAACCGGGGCTGTTGTTTTGAGACTGCCCCTCTCAGTTCATTCTCAATGTTCAGCTTTGATCTGTATTTCGTTTTGATGGCAGCAACAGCAGAAAAGCCTATCTCACACAAGTAGGATGTTGCAAAAGGCAGCATTATGCCCACAGCTCTCTGACCAATGAGATATGTTCGAGCAGTGTTTGTTTACAATTGAATAATAATAATAATAACAATACATTTGATTTATATAGGTGCACTTTAAAAACAACGTCATCTCAAGGTGCTTCACAAAGATAAAAGGAGAAAATAATAAAATTAAAAAATCTTCCCAAGACCCCCCTGCAGTACCTCCGCGATCCACCAGGGGTCACGCCCCACAGTTTGAAAACCACTGCTGTAGTCTCATTTAGGTCTAAAGCAGCTAAACTATGTTCTAGAAAGCGCCTGACTCGCATACACCAACGCTTTTTACTGCAATATACAGTAGGGGCAGAAATACTGCACCTCTTGCATTAGGAAACACACAAAACAGCTACATACAGCTGTAAAATACTTTTTGCAGAGCTGAACAGAAATACAAAGACAACAAACACATACAAAAAAAAGTTCTCACCTTGTCCAGGAAGCAGAGCTTGTCCTTGGTCTTAGCATCCAGTATCTCCACCTCAAAGAAAACAACAGCTTTTTTAGTTTTTTTAGCAGGTTTGCGTTTGGCCGGGGCCGGAGCCGGCACACCGTTAGCCGGCTTTTTAGTGCTGGTAGCCTCTAGTGCTAGGGCATCCATGTCCACAGTGCTCCTCCTGCACTCGCTTTATTCCCTTCTTCCTCGCGGTTCTCTTGTCACTCTTCACCTCTCAACTGTCTCCCCACGCCAGACCATAGAGAGCAGCAGCACTCAGCTGTGGAAATAAATCTGTCTCTACCCTGCTTCTCCACCCCCTACATCCTCTCTGCCATTCTTTCACGCTCCCTCCCTCTTTGCCCCACGCTCATTCCTTCACTTCTGCGGTGTTGCTTTATTTAACTGCCAGCCGACCCCTGGAGCGTGGACATATGTCACATGTGTGTGTGCACAGTTGCATACACAGGAATTCCCAGTATCCCCCTGGCAAACTATCCGCAGTAGATCATCTGTGTGTCAAGAAGGGAGCTTCTAGAGACAGAGCTATGTTTCCAGTGACTCGGTTTTGAAACATAACTCGTCCCTAAAAAAAGGTCACCTGACGACCCGTGAAACATGTCAACCCCTGGTTAAGTGGTAAGATGGTGGAGAGATATTATGACGAACAGCAACACCCCTTTCCCAGTTTCTCCCCACTCTTCCTCTCCCCAGCTAAATATAAACGTCTACTGCTAACTCTGCATGACCAACCCTTTCCCCAAGGACCCCCACCCGTCTACGACTATGTGATGATGTCATGGGCTAATGGTTTAAGACCCTCTGCAGTTCTGTCCATCTGTCTATCTACAGCCACGATGCACATCACCAACCTTTGATCAGACTCCTAAATGCACCACTCTCAAGGTCTCTGATACCTCATTCACACCAACGCAACTCCGGTTCAAGTTCCGTGCTAGAGCTTTTCAGGTTCAGAACCAGTTCTTCGGTTTAGCTCTGGCTCTTTTCACACCGCCCAGAGTCCGACTGGTAATGCGTCGTTGCGTCATCGTTTGCGTCATGACGTAACCGTTTGCGTGCCTGCTTCATAAAGCCAAACCGCGCGGATGAAATCAGTTGCATTCATTTCTTATGGCTCTATCTGCAGCTTTTCCCGAGTCATTTCTGTGGTTTAGTTAAATTCTTATAAAAAAGTGTACTCGTGTCAATAAAGTTTTTTTTAAAAACACAACTACTTCCGAGGTCGGTCTTATTTCTTAAGGTGGACTGAACCATGAGTGTGGAGTAACGTTGTATCTTTCATTTAAATGAACTGTAACCTTCACCCAGGTATGTAACAGCTGTTCTCAAATGAACATGTGAAGTAAAGTTTAATATTTATAGTTTTATAGATTTATAATGAGTTATAATGAGAGGTGATCAACGTGAATGCTCAGGTTCCACCTGTCTATGGCAGAAACTCTGAAACTCTTGTTAAGTTTCTCCATCGTTGTGAACAAACTGGATAAAACGCGGGCTTTTTGTTGTTGTTCAGGTGCTTTTGCTCTGGCCGGACAATTTTTTGGTGCTTGAAACGAACCGGATTCCAGAGCTAAGAGGCTGCTCCGCTGCGGTGTGAAGAGGAACACCCGGTGCTTTTCAAGCTCCAGCTCCGAACCGGCCCTGAAACACTGTTGGTGTGAATGAGGTATCACACACACTGACTGCTACAGTGTTTTGTACCTTCAAACTAAACGGAGTAGCCAGTCACTCACACAGGAAGTCACCTTTTCCTACAGTACCACCAACGGGTGATAATACTCGAGACTCTCAGGGCTTAGTTGGGGCATTCCCTTTGGAGAAGCCCACCCCAACCCCCACCCTTCCAGTCTCTTATGACCAACAGTAAGTATTCAGTTACCATAAGAAATGTAAGACATAGCCACAAGGGGCAGCATGGGAGTTAAGTCCAGACATTTATCTATGGAAACGTTCATGTTGCATAAAAGCCCACCTTTGCCTCCCTCAACTTTGATCAAAGAAATAAATGTATATGGGTTTTTTTCTTTTTTAAATATAACTATCTGATGATTTTGTGTCGTGGCCATATATCATGGCAAAATATGTATTGACTTGTTCAAGATAAGCATTTACTTATTTATGTGCACACTAGCCATTCTAAAACTCGAATCAGTGTTATTTGTAATGGATTTACGGCCCTGCCTACAAACAAGCTGCCTGTATGACAAGATAAACATCCATGTCTTCTTAAATCAAGCAGGAAACCTGACACTGCAGTTAGGACTTCTGAGAAAGACCCCCCATCTCAGTCTTCCCGGTGCCAGGCATACCCACTGCCACTGAACCTCCCCCATCTCATCTATATAAAGCTACTGGTAGTGAGTCAGTCCTAATGCTCTTTGGGGTGAGGGTGAAGCAGGGAGAAATAATCTTTAATTACTACAGCGGACTGTTGCTGTTCTTCGCTGGTTCGCTTGATATCCCAAGGTAAGATGACACTTTTGAAATCTAAAAATATAAGGCCTTCCTCTTTAAACAGATTAGCAGACCATCTGGAAATGTTAATATGCTCCAAAAGTTTTTTGTTAGCAGATACTAATATCCGTGTGTAAGAAAGAGAGATAATTTTGGAAGTCATGCCGCCTCATAACTTGGGTGCTATCTGGTAACTGTCAATCTATTTTATGACCCAAGTGAAAATAAATGTCCCAAGATATTGTGAATTTAAAAAAGAAAAAAATGCAGTAGTTTTAGTTTGTCAAATAATGTGTGTTAGGCTTTAAATTGATCTGTCGTGCCATGTAAAGCATGCAATTTACAAAACCTAAACAGTGATCACTATTATGATTGAATCAATGAACTTGAACTTTTTTTTTTTAAGAAGACTTCTAAGGTATACATAGAGGAAATATTAAACTCAAAGAGCACCTGCATGAACATGTGCACTGGTTATGGTGTCAGTAAGAGTTCACAACTAGCAGGGACCACATTTTATGACTTCAGTTAGCATACCCGTTGAAGATAATGCTCTTAGCACTCACCTGAGTGACATACTGGGTGGTTTAGTCGCAATACTGGCACTTTATAGGCCTGAATATCACACAGTGGCCTCACACAAACATATGCAGGCTTATTTTATGCAGTTAGTCCTGGGCATGCATAGTTATACCTGTTGTAGCTTATGTTGCAATAATGCCCATTCACTGTCTTATCATGCAGTTTCAACAGCCATGGCCATAAAAAAGTGAGTCAAGCTAATATATTACAGGTTTCAGGGGTGGCCCATTTTTACATATATGGCCATATAATCGGTCAGTGCAAATAAATACTGACAAAGTCTTTGGGGGAAAAAAGCCTTCATGATTGTAATGTTGTTGTTGTTGTTGTTGTTGTTGTTGTTGTCCCCCTTACAGGTTGCAACAGCCATACTGTCTTCAACAGGAAGAAGGGGAACAGGAGCAGCCACTGGTTGGGTCAGTTTCTGTCAGACTCCTGCAGATCCTGTCTGACGGGTTTTGGTGCTCATGAAACTCCTTTTCATGACTTTTATGAAAGCTTTTAGTGATTGCAAGTGTTTACTGGTTAAGTATAGCAAACCGTTTACTTTATTGATAACATAGTGGAACAGGTCTGTGGTAAAAGTGTGGGTGTTTCTGAGAGACAAACATTGTTACTTTTTTGCTCTTTACAAGTGACTTTCTGTCATCAACTTAGGTCTGACTTCAGCTAATGCAGCGTCAAACAACATATTACACCGAAGCCTTGAAGATTTATTTCAAGTTTAAGTTTGCGCACTTGACTGTTCACTTGCATTATTGGGTAATAACAAGATACGAAGCGTCATGCGCCGTTCCAGCCAGAGATGGCGATGATGCGGAGTTTTATCCTGAACAGAGGTCTCTGTGTTTAGCTAACAAAGACATCCAGCATATATCCTAAAACATGATAAATATGCAACGAAAGCATAATTCGGCATTATTGTGGAGGCAGAAGGTCGACTTTGAGGTACGATATAAGCCGATATATGCCATGCACCGATAGGCCACAAATCCCCGTTCCTAGCAACCAGCCCATGACAGGCGGCGTCGCTGCATTGTGTGATCCTCGCTGAACATGTTTAAAGCTATAAAGTGCCTGTTTTTGTGGAGTTTACTTTAACAGAAATCACAGCCACATTTCGTATTGGTCTGATGATTACATTATGGCTCCATTTAGGGGTTTCGAGTTTTAAAATCACTTCTTACCTCGTAGTGCTTCATCTTGGCAGCTTGCACCCCCTTCCTCAATATCCCAGATGATTGACAGAGCCGCCCTCCACTCAGCGAAGCAACGTGCAACTGCTGGACCATAGTAGGCGGGACCTACGTTTGTTTTGCAGCCAATCAAAACCAGCAACATTCACGCCATTACGTTATCACGTACACTATCAGCAACGTAGCCAATGAGATTTGAGCAAACGAAAAGGTCGCCGCTATGTTAACATAATTGGATTTAATAGAGTTTAGGACTAATTTCTCTTTGAGAAGCAGCTCTGTCCGTCTGTGCGCAGGTGGAGCAGACTGGAGATTGAACCACTTTCCTTAAACTAAATGCATGTCGTCTTTAGTTGAATTGTATCTCTCTTTTCTACTTAATTTTCCAAAAGGGTAATCAATTAAGTTCTTATTTAAATGTTTGCAATTGCTTTTGCCTTATATCAAATCTGTATTTGCATTATACTGTATAAAGGAATATGTGTGTACAATGTGTTTTCCTTTTGTTTTTAATTGCCCTAAATTAATAAAGGTTGTCATTTGTCCGGTATGTTTTCACTTAATATTCTCAAACCCAAAGCAACATTAAGGTAAGGTACATTTAAGGTACATTAAGGTACATTTCAAAAACATGATTTTCTTGCACCTGCAAAAAACACACTGAGGACAAAACGACCACACATCACTGTGAAATGTAAAAACACAAAGCATAACAGTTATCTGTGAAGCCATTTAACCTGCAGTGATGTTTTGTATTCAAACTGACTACGCCCCTCTCATCCTTGAAAATCCGGTTTTCTTCACTTGACTCAGATCAGTATCTGTTACAAATGTTCTAGTCACTATATAAAAAAACGTTGCATTAAGTTTACTGATGAACACCTGATAAAATCCGGTCATGCAACACAATTGTCAAACTCCTTTGAGACATTAGGCCTATGAGCACAATATATTGTTACCTCACTCCAAGGCTATTTTGAATAAAAATGGCAGCTATGTTATCTTCATGCTTCTTGCTTGTTGTATTCCAGATTTAGCAAGAATTTAGAAAACATCTTTCATGTGTAGAACGATTCAGAAAACTGATTTAGAACACCGAAAGTGCTCAAATGCAGGGCCGTCCCTGGCCAACTGGAGGCCCCACGCAAAGTTATGAGGTCCTCTGTTTCGCTAGCGTCGACGGGGACGGGGGGGTTAGGGTGCTAGTGGAGCCTCGCAGGTGATACCACACTAATTGCTCCGCATAAGCGCATATGTGCGCCGCAATTGCGTAGGGTGCTAGTGGAGCCTCGCAGCGGCGATACCCGCATAACCGCATAGGTGCCACCCAGGCATAACAAGATTGCTGCCAGCAATGTAGTCAACGTTTCATTTTGGTATGGAAGGGGTTCAGTGAGGGGAGTATTTTTAAGGCTTACATAG